AGGCCCTGTGATCTACAGTACTCCGCAAGGTTATTTGCGTCTTCTTCCGTTTGCCGACCGCGGGCGACGCCGCTGAAGGAAACGATATGGAATTCTATTCGGCCTTGTGCGATCTGCACTAAGCTTATGAACTTTTCCATCCCCCTGCACATTTACCCCCCTGACCCAAGGCAACCATTTTGTAAGGGACCCAGGAGTTAACCTTACAAACATCCATGGTTGGGGGTTTACAAAATGGGCTGGGCACCAGGCTTGGTGTGATTCCCCAGCAAACACCGGTGAACCCCCAAAAAAATCAAAAATCGGCTCCTTACAAAATGGTTGCCCCAAGTTAATTTCCAGGCCCCAAACCCAATCATCTTATAAGCTTGTGTCTTAAAAAATGGTTTGTTTGGAAACATGTCTTACTTGTACAAGTCCAACTTCCCCCAGGGAACCCCGCAATTTTTTCCCAGTCCCCAAAGTTTGGAAAAAATCCCAGAAAGTTTGATATCACCTTTTCTGGTTGGTTGACTTAGTGGTGTCTTGCCGGTTCTTCACACATCAATGGTGGAACCCAAAAAAAATTAGAGAAGAAACCCTGGTTCCTGGACATGGCCAAGATTTCAATACCCTTTTTTGCACTGCCTGAAATGAACCCAAAATTGCGTTATGAAATGATTGGCCCCGAGTTCATTTTGTAAAGAAAGTTGGCTCTTACAAAATGATTCGCCCAGCAAAAAACACGCTTTTTACAAAATGGCATGGTTGACCAGAAACATGTCCTTACAAAATGCATCCTTTTGTTAGAAAAATGCCCCTGGAATGGAACATGGGTCAAGCCATTTCATAGTGGAAATGTACACAGGGATACTTTTCCAAGATAGAACGATCAAATACCTTAAGGGCGTTTCTGGCGCAGTCGAGGGTGTCGTGCCAGTCGAAAAACACGACTAGATTATTGCCACCGGCACTTCGCCCTTGACGAGCTCGGATTAAGGGGCCTACCCCCTGGCGCGCGAATCGCAGCACCTGCCTTACCTCTAGTAGGAACAGATGCTGTTGATGTAGAAGTCGCCTCAGGTGGTCGCGGAGGTGGTGTTGGTGGTGTCGACACTGGTGTTGCAGGTGGACTAGGTTTTGGGGACGCGGTCTTATGGGCTTTTGGCACAGGACGATCGGGTCTAGGGGGAACTACAACAGGAGGTTGTTTAGCAGGTGGCTTAACTTTATTATGTTTTTGCTTCTGCCTCTCCGATTGATGGTATGCCTCTAGTGCTTGGCGATGTTTTCGATCGGCAAGTGACTCTACGTGTCTTTCCCAATCTCTGTCCTGTCGTTCTTTTGAACGTGCCCAGGCCGCGTTGAGCTCCTCTTCGGTAGGCGCCGGTGGATCTGGATCAACACCTGGCTCGTAAGCTTGGCCAACAGTTACGGAGTAGTTATAGGGAGGTCTAGGAGGAGCCTTGTACTTCTTTTTGATTGGAGGACCTCCTACTTGGGGCGCACGTGCAGCCCCTTCCCGCCAGGGTGGAACTGCTGACGCCGACCTACTTGCTGCACTAACTCCGGGTGGAGGCGGCTTAGATTTAGCTGGTTGGGATGATGATCTAGGTGGTGGCGAACCTATTGATTTTGGAGGAGTCTTAGGTGTTGGGATATCAGGAACAAAAACCTCGGCTTTGGTGCCGTCTCGGAAGATTTGGGTTTGGATTGTACCTGAAACTCTTGTTGAAGAAGTTGTTATGGCAACTGGAGCCTCTTCCTCAGTTGGTGTGTCCCTGTGACGCGATCTGGAACGTTCAGCACTCTTTGCACTGGGTGACAAAAACCTACTAACACTACCTCTAGTAGTTGGAGCTTTCGGAGATGCCTGCGATGGAGTGCTGGGTTCTTGAGGCGCTAATGGAGCAGCCTCTTCCTCAACTTCTACTTCAACCTCAACTTCCTCCTCACCCTCGGGCGGGGCTTCAGGAGGGTCAGATGAGTGATCCTCTTCCTCTTCGCCTTCTGGTTCACCTGGATCGGAGGGATCTGGGTCCTCGTCCGGTGCCTCGGGCTCAGATGGAGGCCCACCTGGCGCAGCAGCAGTTGATGTTGGTTCGGGTTGAGGAATTGATCTACGTCGAGATTGGTAAACTTGCCTACGCCCAGAAGAAGTTGTTGTAACAATAGCCCTTCTTTTTGGTGGAGGAACTGTAGTTTCTTCTTCTTCTTCAACCCCGTCAACAAGCTCTGAGTCTACAGCAACTAGACCCTCAGGTTCAGAGATCGGGATTACCTGGGTATTATGGGAGGATACCAATGCAGTGTTGCTACCAACCAATGACGGATCCCGCCAAACTTCGTCAGCAAGTTCGTGGGGGTCAACGGATGATGTAGCGGTGCCAGGAATGGCAACAGGAACAGTTGTGGGTTCCCTACCTGTAGTGCCTAACGGCTTTGAGATACGCACCCAAGTGCCCTCAGAGTTTATTATCACAGGGGGATAATTACTATCAGCGGGTCTTAGGGCTATCGGTCGGGAACTAAGACTAGGGGTACCTAAGTTACCACCCCTTGCACGGCGCAACACCTCAGTGTCCTGATCTGCAAAAGAACCGTCAGCTCTCGGGGTGAGAGTGGCTGGAACCCGTGATCTAGATCGGCTCACTGGCTTAGGCGCAGCAGGTGCTGACGCAGCTGGGGACTTATCGATGTTACCACCTTTAACTTTTCGGGCAGGGGGTGTGCCAGCTCTCTCACGTGGTCTCCCACGTTCAGCCTTATCCAAGTCAGCCGCCGATGGCGGTGGATGAGATGGTGGCGGAGGGATCGCTGTTGCAGCCCCTTCTCCTTTTGGCGTTGCAGCTCTTGGCGGCCGCTGTGGAGGGGGTCCTAAAGTTTGGTGGAAATCTCGATGTACAGGCACCGGCGGTGCTGGATAACTAGGTGCGGGTCCTAATCTTTTTAAAGGATTATCTTTAGGGGGCTTAGCAACTTTGGGGTCCGATGCTTTAGGCTTAGCCGGTTCTGGCACGGATGCTTCGCCGGATGCTTTTGGATCGGATGCTTGCTCAGCCTTTTCAGGTTTAGGGCGCTTTTCAGCAGCCCCTCCCGTGACACGTGGCGGCGGAACACTGGCTACGGATTCTGAAACTTTCGGAGCGGATTGATGGCCTACAGGTCGAAGGGATGGCACCCACGGCGGTGGGTGATTAGGTTCCTTGGGTTCTGACACTGGCTTAGGCCTAGCTTTAGCTTTCGGTGGGCCCCTTGGTGATGGAGTGTGGGTTTCTTCAGAAGAACTGGCACCCCTATCTAATGTTGGGTCAACACCTAAGGCTGTAGCTTGCTCGGGTTCAGATGGTAGTTCAATATTTTGGGTAAACACACTAGCTTTGGCTTTTGCCTTACCTTTTGGCTGTGGACCCCTATAGGTATCGTAATCGTCCCACACGGATCTAGGTGGATCTGGATCCCCAAAAGCCTGCAAGTTAATGTGATCCCTATCGGGTAAAACAGTATTTGCAGCTGTATCTGGAGCAAGATGCAATTCACCTCTTCGATAACCGTTGGTAAAAACCCAATTTCTATAAGGAGCAAAGGTATTAGCAAAATGGACTAAGATCTGGTTTAGCGTACAATGGTTGTAGAAGACTCTAAAGACACGGACAGTCCAGATCAGTTCAGCGGACGCTTCTGAGTGGTAGACGTACCTGAGCCAGAATTCTGCCTCGTTCCAAAGAAAATCAGCTAAGCGATCAAAATCGGATTGCCAACGCTGGATGAGCCTTTTAGTCTGGGCTTTCTTCCCGCCTTTAGTACCACGTACACGGGGACCTCTGGACGGTCCTGCAGGAGAATGGCCTGTTTGGACGTGCCCAGATATTGAGGCGCCTGCGGCAGCCCCTTCCTGTTCAAGAAATGGTGATGTTGGGGGCGGTGGGACTTCGTCCTCTTCCGCTACCCCTCCAAGGTGTTGGACGTATACCGGAGCAAATGTCGAATTAGGATCTGGCTCAACTACGGACGGAGAGCTTCCTACGATCGGATCTGCGACGGAGTCTGCAACCTCAGCACTAGTTTCTTGATCAGGGTTATTGGAAAAATCAGCTTCTTCTTTTGGAATTAGATTTTCGGGGTTATCACTTTCGAGATTATTTTCTGCTTCAATTTGATCGGATGCCTCAAGCTGATCGGCTGGCTCGGCGGTGGGATCGGCGTCAGCCTCAAGTGCTTCAAACAACTGTTCAGTAGTGACTACCTCCTCCGGTTTTGGATCCAGAAGGGAGAGTGCGTCAAACTTCAAGATGTCGAAGTCCTCGTCGGCGTCGTCCTGTAGGGCGCTAGATGCAGCCCCTCCCACTTCAAAACCAGCTGTCGGCACGGGCGGGTCTTCAGAGGCGTCTGCCCAGTTAAATCCAGTACTACCTTCAACAGTGACTTCAGCGCTTTCAGCAGCTTCCGCCTCTGCTTCCGGGTTCCCGTCAGCAACTGGTTCGGAGGCGCTCAAAGCAGCCCCCTCCAACAGACCCTCTGGTACCATAAAACAGTGAAACAGGAATCAGCGAAAAAGATGGGATAGTGAACGAGGTTGCGTGGGGCCTAAGTTACCGACAAGGGAGTTTAAGACTTTCCCAGCAAAAGAACACTAAGCCAATACGGCTGATAACCAGAGAAACAAGGGGGAAAACAACCAAACACCGTTATTAAACTCCCTTGTCTCAAGAATCATGCAAAGCACCTTTTTACTACGGTACTTGAGCCATGTATTTACGGTAGGCTACTATGGTGACCCGACTGGATACAAGGGTTACCAATTCCTACTCTATACAAGGCTACAACCCCAATAACTAACGCTTCTAGTTATGGGGATATGGACAGTGATTATGAACTGTACACTACATTGGAAGGTTGGTCTAATAGCTACAGCATGGTGTGAACTAATACTAGTATATACAGTGGTGGTATAGGGGTCGTAATATTTCTACTATTATTATTATTATCCCATTCCTTGTTTCCATGTATAACCGGCCCACCTCCTCAAACTTCCCTTCTTCAAGGCTTGGGGCTCCGCCCATCAATGACCTGAGCGGGAACTGGGGGAACTACCTGGGAAATGGAAAAATTGGTTGATGATATGGGGATAAGGGAATGATAAGTATGATATATCACCATTTTTGGGGCCAATATCACAACAATATGTGTAATCATAATGTTACATCATAACTATGGGAATGAATTATGCATATTATGATGCAATAAGGATATGGGGAATATTATGATTATGAATCATAAACACTTGCCAAGATTCTGGAGAATATTTACATAATACAGCGGGGAATTGTCATGTACAAGTGTGGCAATTTTTGAACAATCTCATGATTAGCAACATGGGGAATAACATGGTATGGCAATTGGGTTTAAGATATGCCCCTGCTGGGGCCATCAGAAATTCACCACCCCGCAGGTCATACTTAGATGAGCCATGGACTTAGTTAGCTATTTAGTAAATGGTTGTTTAAAAAACCATTACAATTGGACATATAGCGGGTTACAACCCACTTACAAACAAGTCAACTGATTGCACTGCCCATTTAAGGTTCCTAGAGTATAGCCGCAAAATACTGCGATAGACCGTTTGCCAAGCAACAACGCTTCTTGCTCGATCATTTCGATGCATTGCCTTAGCGGCCAGCGCCTATTGGATATTGCGATTGAATGGGAATCGATAGATATGGGTACTAGATTATAGGCTGGGTGACCGGGTGTCTGCTTTTTTCCCACTCCAAGTGTTCGACCTCGTCAGTGGATTCTGGGTGTCCACTACTTCGAGAAGTAAAACATATCTTCTTCCCCAGTGTTGGTGGTTTTGGTCCCCATGCTTCATGATGTTTGTAGCTGAACCCTGCTTTGCATTTGCCAAATCCCGGAATTTGAAGAGAACGAGGTCTGCCACGGCGCTTCACCACATCCAAATCCGTCTCTTCCGACACCATGACTAGGCCACCAGCCTGAACAGCTAACCAGCAAAACTCACGGCTGGAATCCATGGATTTTCGGCCCGGAAATGGACAAAGTATGACAAAGTGATGCTGGGATTTGCTGAGCTGCTGAGCATGTCAGAGCTCAAGGTTTCAAGCTGCGGTTTTGGAATTCAAAACAGTGCATTTTGGGGACCTCCAAACACTTCATTTTCGCAAAGATGTCCCAGATTTTCACGGAAAACGCAATCAACTCTGTTGACTCATTGGGGAGGTGCCAGTGAACCACATTCCGAATGTTCCTATCATTTCCGATAAAAAATTGTACCAACTGGCCAACTATAGAGGGAATCATTTGGCATTTAACATGACATACCATGATAAAACATTATATCACCATAATTAAAGGTGTTGTATCCCAATTTGTGGTGGTTGTTACCGTGGTGTTACCCAGGTTTTACCCATGGCCAACTTAAGTGTCTGGTTTCCACGCCTGCGGCGTTTTTGAAAGCGGCGGCTCGCCCCCGTTCGAAGCTCGTGCCGAAAGGTGGCTTCACGAGACGACGGCGAGGTTCGCAAATTGGTGGTGATTGATCGCACAAAAATGGGAGAAACCTTCAGCAAAGATGGTGATTTAACATGATTTAACCCTCATGTGAAAATCCCATGAGTTACATATGGTAACCATTGGATACCATTGGTAACTAATACCATATGTAACTAATAAATCTCATATAAACCCTATTCAATCCAACTATCAAAATCCATCATGGGATTTTTACCATCAAAAATAGATGCACTGGGGACTCCATAGACCCTCGCTGGTACCTTTGGGATCCATTGAGGATTAGGCGGCTAGGCTGCTGGATGTGGATTAGCAATGCTTACTGGGTGGTTTTTTCCTTTTCCCAATTGCAGAGCAACAAACTTGCACAAATCACCCATCCGAACAAAAATGCTCTCTGCGCCATGCAAGTGCTACCTCGCTGAAATTCTCGCAGAAGGAGAAGAAGTCCAAAACCTTCGCGAAGCGCATTAGATTCCAACGATCAGAACGGTAATGGAGCTGAAGAATATATGATATATCTGATATATCTGATATATATATGTGTATAAATATAGATTTGGGATGCGAGCATTCTACCAGATGCAAAAAAACATCAGGTTGCCATCGTCCCAGTTCAACAATCATGGCGAATTCAAAGACAGGCCTCACTTGTTGCGTCGGATGAATTCTTTGGAACGCACGTATGTCATCTTTGGAATTTCAATGACCGCGCCGCATTTGTTGTTTCCACAACAAAGATTCCTGAACTGTTTACGTTGAATTCTTCATGATATGACTACAATGAGCTATATCTGCGCAGGTCTTCAGAATAGCAACATTGGACACGTGCAGCTTCATCGCTCAAACGCTTGGATTCCTTGGATCATGGCGGCCCCTCTGAGTTTCACCCACGCCACGATATCTCTGCAGCGCCAGGAAGTACCTCCGGTCCCGATCCTAAAGGCCCAGGTCCTACATTGGTAACCCTGGCCAAGCTTAGACACCTGCAAAAAACCTCTTCATCAATATGATATCTATAAAGATTACAGGGGTATATGCCTGAACATACATAAATACAGTATTCATAAGTAATTGTACTATATGTAGCTAACATTACAGTATATGTACAGCACACCACCATCAACACTCAAGGCCTCTGCTCTCGGAAGAGGCGCGACCTGAGGGTTTGAACTCGGGTTCACTAGGATTCATGGTAAAGTTGGAGGTCGATCTATACCTACACATAACTGAGGTTTTAAACATGTTAAACCAACAGAAGTTGGAGGCACCTTGTGGGGACGACATCCCCAACCCATCAAGGAGCACAAGATCTTAACCAATCACCAAGCCTGGAACATTTACCACCAAGAACTGGGATTTATGATTTATCCAAGACTAGTGAAATCGAGAAATTAGAAAAAAATAGGGGTTCCACCATCTTTACCACTGGGGATGACATGGGGATGTAACCCGGGCCAGTGCCCAACAGGATTTGCCCCGAGGTCCCAACCCGGTCTCCTTGCGCTCCATGGCATGCTTCAACTGGGAGACGGGCCATGTATTGTTTGTTGTGGGATTCACCATGATGATATCCCAATAACAAAAAACACGATGTTATCTCCATCCATTGGCTATATCCCATATCCTATTAAGATATATTAAGATCCCATATAGTAACCCAAAAAGATTGTAATTTATCACCATTTGTGACTATTTTGCTAGGATTTTACCAACTTCTATCTTTTTGACGGTTACTGGCAACCAGAAAAGTTGAACAGCTGGGAACTATGGAGGAAACAATGGGAAACCTCATCGAGCTAGCATCCTGGTGGCACACTTTTGGCAATCTTTTTGGGACATTTTGTGGCCCCTATAGTGTATTTTTGGATATTTTGGGACATTTTGGCACACTTGGAAGCGTGGTCGACAACAGCAGCTACAGTTTTTGAGATGGAAGGATTCTTTCACACGGCAAAGGCCGTTGGTTCACCACTTCGTAGGCCAACGGTCCCTCCGACAGGCGGAAAAGGATATATTATAGATGGGTTGGAACACCGGTTAAGAGACTATGGGGCTCGACTCGACTCGACTTTGCATCAGACTCCAGGTTGTGTGGAGGTTGTTGGTGATGAGTTGGCTTTGGGTCTTTCAAAATGGTTCAAATGCGAAAAATGAAGGCACTTCATCCATTGGAACAATCTTTATGACAAACCAACCGCATTGTGTTTTTTGTTTTTCTGTTTGTTTTGTTTCGCCACAATTTTGGAATACACAAACCTGTCCGACACTTGTACTCAACCTCACAGCACTTGTGAACAGGATGGCAATCCCAGAGGTCACTACTGGTAAGAACCCTGAGGGGTTGCAACCCATGTTTGCACCACATATGTCATAAATTTCTCCAAAAAGTGGCGGGGTGGGGGCGCCCCAACAAGACCACCTTAATAGGGAAAATAATGATAAACCATTGGATTGCGTTTTTCCCCCTAAAATCTCAAACAAACCTGAATCATAACTGTTCATAACTCACCTTCAAACATCACCCCACGTCGCTGGATGTGGGGAACTTCCTGGGTGAAACCTTCGAGCCTTGTCTGCTTCGGGCATGTCCTTAGCAGCAGTGTTGGGGCATTGCATTCCAGGGCCGGCTTTGGCAAGAAAACAATGATAAACAAAGTGTCAAACAAGGAGAAAATGCCAGCTTTGGCAAGTGTGGGTTGGCTAACGCACGATTATGTGGTCATTGTTTTTCTCTGTGCGCAAGATCTTGCCAAAGCGGGCCAAAGATAAACAGTGAGCAAATTTAGTTACAGTGCAGATCTTACTTGTCTGCTTTCTTAATAATATTAATATACATATCTATGATTCCAACAGGATAACAAAGCACACATGTCAATTACCTAGCTGGCTCATCTTAGATGGACCCCCGCAAAACAGGCATTGATATCGCTGTTTTTGGTCCATTGTTGTTTGACCCCGTCTATAGCAAGCAAAAAACAAGTATTACACACCTATATAATTGGCATCCAGTTCGCCGATTGCAGTATCCAACGAAGATTCGCCCAAATCAAGAACCATCTTCCGTTGCAATTATTTTGGACTTGGAAACCGCGATTATTCCAACCAAGCTACCCATGCAAAACTACAAACCCTCACATCTATACAGTAATTAAACAGGGTGCGCCCTTTACCCAAATACAGGGGGTGATATCCGGCTCATTTTAAAGGGTAACATATGGTAGCATCAGAACAACAGCAATTTGCCACCTTATCGAATGAAAATGCTGGAGAATTCCCATGAAACCTCCATGGCTCGTGGATTTCCCAGCATTGATGCAACCAACAGGTAGACGATTGTGATTGGTCACATCCCCATGAAAATTCTTTAGATGGTATTAAGATTATTAAGATGTATTAAGTGAATGATTTTTTCAAATATTCCATTGATATTCCCTGATGATCCTATGAGAAAATACCACGATTATCCCATTATCACATGATTACTATGATATTTTTGCTATGATTATATCAAGATTATCAAGTAACATAAAAATGCTTATCCCATATCATCCCACGATTCTCCAATAAGATACCACCATTTTTCGAGTGGCATAGGTGTTGCGAGGGTTCTGGAAGCTGGTCAGCTCAATGGTAAAGATCGCCTACAGGACATGGCTATAGATGGCTATAGGATAGCGAGCAAAAATGAATTTATGATGAACATATGATGGGATAACCATGGGATAACAATAATGGTAATTATATATATATACATGCATATATATATATAGCTAATGTGTTGGATACTCTCTGGCCATTTAAGAGTTCAATTTTTGGTGATCATATTGATGATTTCAATCCAAACATGGCAACCACTGCACCAGTGCAACGTTTTCTTTTCCATGACAAAGATTAAACAGGTGCATCTTCCCGATCTACTTTTACCAGTCACTCTGCGCCTCGCCCTCCGTCAGTGAGAGCTTGAGGCCTGGATCGGTACCTGAAGCACCGTCAGCTGGAGCCACGTTGATGGCCAGGTCGTGGTTTGTTCATGAAGTTTAGTGATACTATAGGGATCATTACTATACGGATTATAGGGATTCTATAGGGATACTATAGTTTAGTGACACCTATAATATCTTATAGTTACATGGAGGTTATTTTAACTATAATGTGGCTCCCCCTGAGGATAAAGGGGCTAACCTTGGGGGTAAAGAGTCTAAAGGTAATAACTGATGCAGGGTGTTTAACTAACAACTGGGGAAACCGCCACTGTGTCTACTTCACTATATACTTTAATATGTTGCTATACCCTCCAGCAATGAAAGGCAGTTTGCTGGAAAATCAGCCATTTAGCCCCATGATTTTCCCATGAAAAAGAACCTCCATTTAGTTTGGGGACTTTCAATTGCCAACCATGGCACTAATATTGGTTACCATCTGGTTATGACTAACATAGCCATGGTATAGATGGCCCATAGAAATAGATGGTTTACCTATTAAATTCTATTAAAAATGGTGATTTTTTCTATGGCAAACTGTTAGTCATAACCTCCCCTTCACCCCTGCGCTGAGTCCGACTACTCGGTGTCCCGGCACATGGAAGGCTTGTTGCAGTAGATCATTGCACGTTCACCTAAGAAACAGCACTTTGGATCTACCGGTGCACTAACATTGCTATAGAAAATCTCAATTTTTAATATGGTTGAATCCGCTTGAAATTCTAAATTATCATTTTTCCATAGCTATGTTGATCTACTAAAGGATAGCTCATGGTTCAGCCTTGACAAACTAGTTGTTGAACTTCCTGCCTGAAGATGGCTCAGAATTTGTTGGCTGCATGCTCACGATTCAAATTTTTGTGTTCATGAGTTCTATCCACAAGCCCTTGCTTTCTTGCTTGTACTGGTCCTATAAAGAGGTTTCCTGGTTTAAATCGTTTACATCACCATCCCGCTGCGTACATGGATTCGTCAAAACCCATTTTGGTTGCTTGTAACTAATCACATTATGCGTGGGTGTTTCTCCCAATTTCTGAGTGGTTCTTCCCGGTTTTTCCCTTCAAAATTTCCACTTCACCAGTGCCGATATGAACATAAACCCACCTATGGCTCAACATTAGGCCAAGCACACCTCCGGTGTCATCAAACGTGGTTAGCTGGGAAATCCCCTAACTAAATGGAGCTTTTAACCGGGAAACCATGGAACAAAACAGCGGATTTTCCATTGCCATGATTGCCAAAAGGTATCCCTATGTCAGCCCTATGTTTATGGCTAATCAGCTGGGTACCCTGTAACAAAAACCAAAAAATTACAGCTGGGTGGTGGGTGAAAGAGCGGGTAGCAGTAGGGCACCACAAATTTTTGATGTTTGCATTTTACTCATTGAACTTGCCATGAATTCGGGTGTTTCACAATTTCGGAAGACAACCACATATCATCATGACACATCCACATATCATCATGATGCATCCATATATGTATATATCCCTATTTACAGTAACATCAATATATATAATTATAGATATCCCTAGATATATCACCTTTATACTTCACTAAATCGCCATCTTGTTGCTTACCCCATTAAATCCAACCCTAACCACTGGATAGTCTAAGATATCCCTATTGATATTCCCAAATCACAAATCATATGTATGTATATGTGTATAGTAAGTAACCAGTGGGTAATTCCCATATATTGACAATCCTGAATTTTCTATCTGCTGGGTAATTACTATATATATATATATATCTGGGTAAATTATAATATTTCACTAACCTGAATTAAGGCCATTTGGGGATCATTCCCCTTACTAACCATGATTCCCAGCCCCCTCCGCCACGCCTTGGTTCATCCGCAACACTGCCAGTTCCAAGGCGTCACAAACCTGGCCATCGCCTCCAGCGCCGCGCCGCAGCTGCTATTTCTCCGTTAAATATATGATTTAATGGGACTATAATTAATGGAACATATTGGGGATAATGTTCTTATAACAATAGTGAACTTCAGCCAATAGTAAAATGGTGCGTCAATATTACCATTTTTTTTGCCAATATCAAAAGTAAAAGGGCCCTTATTAATTTTTGTATTGCTATGTTGCCTATCTCCCGACGATCTCCCGATTTTTTTTACCTGAACAAACAATTGTATTTTTTTGGTTTCGACCTCAATGTTTTTGTGAGTAAAGCATTGATAAACACAAGAATGCATAACAATAATAAACTCAAATGAATCTCCTTCTTGTTTTTCCCTTCAATGAAAACAACAATAAACCCAAAAGTGCTCAGGCAATAATAAACTGTATCTGTGGTTGTTGTTGTGTGTTTTTTTTGTGTTTAGTTAATCAAAATTGCAGAGAAAACAGTTTCCTCTTTCAACAAGAAAACGTAAAAAAAACAAAAAACGGAAAACCATCTCCAGTTCGAAAAGAACTGATCTCTTACTAAACTGCATTAAACAAATGCAAATTTTTGAGCTCACAAAGGGTACCCCCCATGGAGTGCCACGAAAAGCAATAAAACCCAGAAGTGCCTAGGCAATAATAATCTGTTTCCGTTGTCGGCTCCAAAAGAGCTGATGTCTTACAAAGCTGTCTTAAAAACATGCAATTTTTCGAGCTTAGAAAGGGTACCCGGGTACCCTCCATGGAGTGCCAAGAAAAACAATAATAAACCAAAAGTGCCTAGGCAATAAAGAACTGCCCCCAGTGTCGATGTTGTTTTTATTTGATTTGGCGACCCGCCCATCTCTTCTATTAGAACCCTTATAATGTTTTCCCGAGAAACGAATTTCAAAGAACCAGCTCGCAAAGACCACAAGCTGAGGCCCCGTCGAAAGCAATAATATATTAAGAAATTCAAAGGCAATAGTAAATTTCGACGCCTGACAATGCAGTTTTCTGTTATGGTACTTGATTCTCTATTGCAGAGACAGCCATTGCCTTTCACAAGATATACTTTTCACTTTGATCAAGACAAAAACAAAAACGAAGAAATAGTAAGTTGCAAAAAAAAACTGATTTCTTCCTATACCCTGTAAAAACAACGATGCTTTTGAAGCCCGCAAAGGCTACCCACCTTGGAGCAAGACCATTACGAAACCAAGAAGTGCACGTGCGATATGATATTGACACGATTGGCAACCTTGTTTTTCCGAATCCAAACTTGAAAAACCATTCGGGGGGCGGCGGCTGTTGGAGCTGTCCCCGTATTGAATGAAGATTGAAGGTTCTAGAGTTAGGGCCGCCCCCATAGTGAATGAGGGTTTACGTTCGACTTGGAATGCAAGGGTTTGGGTGCTGTGGGATGGCCGGGCGAGGGCTGGGGCTGGCGTGGGGTGGCTGCGGTGGCTGGCTGAAATTCTTTCTTTTGGCCGCGGGCGGCTCTGGCTGTTGGATTGTTTTGTTTTTTTGCCCTTTTAGCTAAAGCGGCTATAGCTCAGCGGTTAGTACGAGGGCTTGAAGATCAGAGGTCTGTGGTATGATTCAAGGGGGGCGCGTGTTAGATATGATGTGAGCAATGCTACAATGATTGGCGCAGGGCTGCCTTGCCACAGTTTTGTGTCGCCAAGGCTTCGTGCACCACAGAACCTCTTTACCCTCCACGTGGAAGCCGAAAGAAAGTCTTCAGTCAATAGGGGCACGGCCTCAGCTTTGTGTCACCAAGGCTTCTTGCATCACAGAACCTCTTGAGCTTTTACGTGGAAGTGTAAAGAAAGTCTTCAGTCAATATCAGTCAGAGGGCACAGGCACAAGCATTCCGATGCATCATGTTGTGAAGGGATGCCTGTTCCAAAAGCTGTGCTTTCATGCATTGAAAAGACGCATTATTTCCGAACACGCTAGTTTCACGAGCTTTTTGAAGTTGATACATCATGTTGTAAAAGCCATAAGCAACTTCTGCTTTAAAAGTGTTGACATCTTTTTACACCGTGCTTAAAAGGCAACTTTTTTCGAGCTCACAAAGGGCACCCCCCTGTGAGGTGTCAGTAAAGGCAATAATATACCCGGAAGTGCATAGGCAATAATATACTGACACCATTGGCTGTGTTGTTTTCTGCTTTGTTTGCTTCAAAAAGCAGAAATCCAATTTGCAATTGAATAGCATATAGACGAAGTAAAAGCAACAAATAATCACCTGAAAACAATAATAATCTCATGGAATGGCCGTAGATGATTTTTTGAATTTTGTTACATCTTAAATTGATTTCAAAAGGGAGCGAAAGGGAATGAATTGTAGGACCTGCCCCCCCAGGATATAGTTTAAGCAATTATGTTTCTTCAGCAGCAAAAGCAAAAATAAACCTGAAAAACATCCATGTATTATTTTTTGCTATCTAAATTGATTTTAAAAGGGATTGAATTCATTTCAAAAGGGATTGATTAAACATTTTTTATTATTAACTTTTTTGTTCCCCACCTGCCAGGTGAGGGTTGTTAGATTTTATGTCAGTTGCCTCCTCCTCCTTCTCCTCCTCCTGCTCCTCCTCCTGCTCCTCCTGCTCCTCCTGCTCCTCCTCCTCCTCTCCTCCTCCTCCTCGTCCTCCTCGTCGTCCTCGTCGTCCTCGTCGTCCTTGCTCAACTGCGACCCGCGATCCACAGTGTTCGCTGCCGGACCTCAACCACGACCATCCACGCCCAGTGTTCCCTGCCGGACCTCAACCACGACCATCCACGCCCAGTGTTCCCTGCCGGACCTCAACCACGACCATCCGCGCCCAGTGTTCCCTGCCGGACCTCAACCACGACCATCCGCGCCCAGTGTTCCCTGCCGGACCTCAACCACGACCATCCGCGTAGTGTGTTCCCTGCCGGACCTCAACCGCGACATCCGCGCCCAGTGTTCCCTGCCGGACCTCATGTAGGAAGATATGGGACAAAGAATGTGCAGAAGAAAGTTAGAAAGAATGTCAGAAAGAATGTCAGAAGATATGCCAGAAGATATGCCAGATAGAATGCCCAGAAGATTGCCAGATAGAATGCCAGAAGAATTTGCCATAGAAGCAGAAAATGCCAGAAGATATGCCAGATAGATATGTCAGAAGATATGCCAGAAGATATGCCAGAAGATATGCCAGAAGATATGCCAGAAGATATGTCAGATAGAATGCCAGAAGATATGTCAGAATATATGCCAGAAGATATGCCAGATAGAATGCCAGAAGATATGTCAGATAGAATGCCAGATAGAATGCCAGAAGATATGTCAGATAGAATGCCAGATAGAATGCCAGAAGATTTGCCAGATAGAATGCCAGAAGATATGCCAGAAGATATGCCAGATCACATGCCAGAAGATATGCCAGATAGAATGTCAAGTAGAATGTCAGAAGATATGTCAGATAGAATGCCAGAAGATTTGCCAGTAAGAAAATGTATAAATGTCATGGTGGGGATCACACGAAGTAAAGTAACTTTTTAGAAAAAACAATTGGGGGGTTATTATTGTGTTTGGACATTGTATCAACTCTCATATGTTTAGTATGGCTTGATATGATTTAATAATTATGGATTAAGATGTTAACAAATGCTATTTCTCATTCCAACATATTCTAACAGTCGCTATGACATTCTCATCGGATTTGGTCCTTCCTAAACACATGGCTCACCAAACAAAGCTGTTTCACTCCGATCCACGCGTGTGCCTGCTCGGAAGGTAATTTCCTGAAGGACATGCGCTGGCAAACTTTTTGCCGGAAAGCAGAGTGGCCGAAGAATGGAATCCCAACAAAATGACTTTGGGATATTTTGGGTGAGTTACCAACTTAGTGGGGATCCCATTTTTTCTTCAAATGGATGCTACCCCTGTAGACCAAATCGTCTTGGTTTACAGCTAAGATTGCTCTGCCCTTCAACGCAACATCGCATATCTTTGAGACTGGGCTGCGATTCCAAGATGTTTCTTGATTTCGGCCACCCTCTGGTAATCAATCATGCTGGCAATGGAAAGCTTGCCATTTCTGCTGATTAAATAGTTTCCGATGAAAACAAGCACGTTTACAATATGGATGCAAAGGAATTTTCAGTTGCTATTTTTGTTCACCGAAGGGTACCTAACTAAAACAAACCCAATGAACACCAAAATCCACGCAAAAAAGTGCCAATCTCAAAAACAATGCTTAACGTCTTAAAGAACTCCAGAAAGACATCAGGCCCCAATCCTTCATTTTCTTTGGGATATCTTTTGGTTTTAACAAATTACCAGTAGAATTCCCTACGAGCGCAGCTGGGGACACGATGAGCTAAGCCCCCGGACACTGGGACCACCTACGCAGGTGATGACTGCACCGCCACTGTCGCGCACCACCTCCAGGCGTGGCGTGGATCTGTGGATTGATGGCTTGGTTTTTTTAGGCGATTTATGGGACGATTCACTGGCAAAAAATGGCAAAAATGACAAACATCATCATGATTTGGTTGGGATTCTTGGGGAATTTAACTGATTTAACCATCAAAGAAAGGGGAGTTTGAAATTAATGAGTGATTTAACCAGAAAAGACGGGAGGTTGACTTTGAGCAGCAAAGATATGGGGACATCCTTCTGGACATAGTTAGTTCCCATGAAGACCCAAAGAGGCAGTCTGATAATAACTGATAGTACTTGTGTTCAACGAAGCTGGAGATTCGCTGGAAAATGGCCCACTGCTGCTGAGCATTCTGTGGGCACCCTCCCCGTCATCATGAGTCCAACATCGCAAAGCCACCTTCTGCGACGCACATGTTGTAATTCTTGTGTTCTTGAAGCTGCGATAGACATGGGGTGATTGATTTGAAGAAGACTAGAAATGAACAGAAGTGGCTGTAAAGTCGTGCTGTTCTTGCAGTTGTCCTTTTTTCTCAAGGACCGAACCTAAAGGAACAGTGTCTTCCGAACCTTTTTGGAGCATTCCATGCCTCCAGACTTCACCCAAACTTTACCCATCGCACCTCAACCGTGAGATTCACTTGAGCTGTATCACGTGGCGAATCATTGCCAATGCCCTGACACCGTGGGAATGGGAAACTTTGGAAGCCAAAGTTGACAATCACCATGCAAATTACGCTCCTGGCTGCCAGCTCATGAAAGCATGATTAAAATTGAATAAACATCATGTACTTGTAAAAACGTGATACCTACTACAGTGCCCCAAAACGACGTAGAATCTTCCTAGTATAGTTTTATGTTCTTTCATGTTTTTTTCTATCCTTTTGGTGGTTACTTTTTGGGCAATCTATATTATGCATCCCATCGTCAAGTCTTATGGGCCCAATTCAAGCGAACTTGGGGCTGTATATTGGCAACCTACAGGGCCTATTCGAGCGAATGGGGCGCTGTATTGGAGCCAGTTGGGGGCAGTATGTTGGCAACCTACAGGTCTTACGGGCAATTATTGTAGCAAGTTGGGGGCTGCTATTTCTCCCAGAAAATCACCGGTCGATCCACGGCACAGCCGCGCCTCCTTGATCTGTTTCTTCTTGACTTCCCCAGTCTTCTCTGGGGTCACGTCCTGCTCCCAAAGTTTGGCTGAATTGCTGAAACTGAGGGCATGCCAAGTGTATGCAAGTGTGGAATCCATGAAGGCATGATTTGAACATGATCTATGTGGCTTTGCGATGGAACCAAGCAACAAATCCATGAGCCAAAGGATCCCCATTCTTCTTCCTCTTGGTGATTGAACAGGTTTGCGCGTCGGAAGCCTAAATTGCGACCGAAATGAGTCATGACCTTTGAAAACGTGGTGAGAATCCACAACCCCCACAATCACTCTCGTCACATACTTCAACCAGAATACAGTTTTTTCCCATCGATGTCGTTCGAGCAAAACATTATTCCGTCTCTTTGCGGATGAGAGTGATAATGTATGTGCCAGGCCATTTCGCATGGCCTTAGTGTACCTAGTTCAGGGGTAGGAGTCTAAGGGGAAAGAGTGGCGGGAAACTCACAAGAGGAAAACTTTTGTCCTAGCGGTCTCTGGGAATGGCTTTAAATATCTTTAAATACTATACAGAAAATGGACCAACATATGTAAGCATGAATGGTCAAATCCATTCAAATCCTGCGTGCCCACCAATTTGTGGGTCCGTTGCTTATGGATGACCCCCTGGGGAAATATATCTGGCCACGTCCCAAAACTGAAATCTCCCAAACTTAGCACACATATGGGTGTGAAAAAAACAGGCCCACCCCCAAACAAATGGCATTTTTAATTATATGCATAGAAAATGATGACGGATTGATGATGAACCAGAGTTTTGGGACAGTTTTCCATAAATTCTCCCCGCGAAACCCATCATATGGTAAGTTCACCACCACGTTCACCCGTTGGCTCCTCTTCCATGTAGACTTCGTGCACTTCCAGGCGAATGGTGACCTAGCCAAGTAGCAGGGGCTCACCAACTAGGGTTCTTATGACCAGTTGGCAACTACTATTGGTATCCATTGGGTATGTGTTGGGTTATCACTAGTTGTTGTTGGTTAAAACTACTGTCTGTTTTTGGTTATGTAGCCATGTTTTCCCATTCCTCAAAGGTAAATACATGTACCACTTGCTTGGATGTGCACATTCTTGGGAACAGCCTTTGGTGTATGAACATGATGATTTTCACCGACTTATTAATTGGCTTGTTCTGTTAAGCCATCTAAATATAATTATATAGAGTTATAAACAGCATACCACCAAAAAAAACTACAAGGTGGTGCCCCTTCCAGTTATTAATTGGTTTATCACTCCCCACTCATTATATAAACCATAAGCCAAATTTTCCCTGGTTATTGAACATTGATATGGAAGCCCTAGCCCATCTATAGGTGATCTGTGATGATTTACTGTACCTATTATTACATTGCTATTTTCCTTAGCGTGTTCACCATCACCACTGGATAACCAATGGATTTCTTGTTCTCCAGTGCCTCGCCATGGGAGGTGTTGCCGTAGGCGTATTGAGGCTCACACCTTTCGCAAAAACCAATGGGGTTGCTTCCATGATGATAGCAACCAACAACAAACATATAATTATGCAAATTTAATTATATATATATATTTATACATATATATAATGATCAATGGTAATGATAATAATAGAAAATATAAATATGCATAAATATATGCATAATATATATATACATACACTGCATAAACATTAAACATAATTACTAATTGTTACAATGTTATGTTCCTGTAACTTTCCGTATTCATACTCACAGGTGCAGAAACAAAAAAATGTGGGTACATGTAAGGAGTAGATCCGAGGCTTGCCGGAATTTCGCTGAGTAGAGGTGGGTTTGCCGCGTGACAATTCAGTCATGCACTTGTTGAATCGATCTCTCAAAATGAGTAGGTCACCAGAAATCACCATCAGTAGTAAAAGATGCAGTATATCTTGAACCTTGAATGGGGGATCCCCCTATGACTGCATGGTAATGGTACTGCTACATTGGTCACATGGTCCTATTGCCGTTTCCACACGTGTCCACAAAATGAGCGGTGAATCTACAGGTTGGCCCACTTGCTGTAATTAGTGGTCATGCTTGCATCATTCTTGCTTCCAATCCATTCTAAGCCATCTCGGCAAAGTATAGCCATGAAACATTTTAAGGATTTTAAGGGATGATTTTGGTTCCTAAAGCATCACTTGCCAAGCCTGCAATTCACACCGACCCTGCCAGTCAGATTGGAACACTAGATTCCTCTAAAAAGGTTGTGATTCGGGTCCAAGTGTGTTATTTTGCGGGATGGCAGGCTAATTTACATATCCTCTAGTAAACCAACATAGATACTGTGGAAAATCCGCATGCAGCTCATATACTATGAGTTTCCCAATGGATTTCCATAACTTTGCGCCTCAGTTCCACCAGGCTTCCTTTCCTTGGCGATCTCTAGTGGTGAAGGGGAACCGTTGGAACTAAGGGAATTCCATCTCTGTACTGCAATATGAAACACCTCACGAATGGTCCCAAATATGTGTAAACCCCTGGCATTCCCCATGGTTTCTAGGGGGTGTTTAATTTATTAGGGGGAAGGGATTACGAAACACAATCAAACCATAATTCTCAAATGATAAGGATACGACTCAACCGAGCCCGCGTTTTTTAACAAGTTGCCCCCTGGACATTGTCCTAGTTTTTTATTTCATATTGAAGCTGAGACTTCCCATTTGCCATGTGCAATTGCTGGAGAGTATAGAAAACGCATGCCAAAGCCAATCCTTGGAGCTACTTTTCAAGTGCTTTCCCGTGATTAGGAACCGTGACCCAGGGCTGAGTGTCCCTTCAGCTTTCGGTGGTTTCGAACTACATTGTCATGGCACGCCCAAATTCCAAAGCTATGTTTTGTCCCAGTTTCCCCTCAGTTTGGATCAAAACAGCCCAATATCCACCTCCCATGCCGAACTGTAACCAACAGTTTTTCGCCAGGATCAACAAGTGAAGGCTTCACCGCCGCCCTGTGGATCCCTGTGGTTTCAGCCATTTTTTCCCCAGAGCATTGGCCATTTTTGGCTGCCGAAAAGTCTGGAAGGATCACATCGATCCAGTGCCAAACAAAACACATGGGTCAGAAAAAGGGAAAGGGAATATCCCCCCACAAAATATGCCAGTTTTAGTCATTCTGAATATAGAAAAAGAGATTTCACCCAACATTGATCGAGCATAAACCCCATGATACTGAATTGTTAAACCAATTTTTCAATGGCCATGACTCAGGAACCGATTGATTGGAGGTACCTACCATATGTAAGGCCTATTTTTCAGTCCTATGTAAGGGGATATGCCCAGAAAATATGGCCAGAAATATGGTACAGTAAGTACCTCCATCAATTGGATCCTGAAATTCCCATTGACAAATGGACTGGTCTATTGTAGTGGCAAATCGTCCACCTTTCGGTCTTTGAGTGCATGGGAGAAAAGTTGCACAGTTGGCCTCAAATGGAGTTATAGCAGGCAAAACCAGGGCCAGTTCTAGTTGTTGCTAAGCAGTTGACTTTGTGTGGAGAGGTCAGCGAACAACATCAACATGGGTAAATCCAAAGCTACATAAAGCCTCTAAGGGTGACAGCCCAAACCAATTCGATAAGAATCTGGTTGGATCAAGTCAGGGCCAACCTTATACTGGTTGGTGGTATTTCGCCACCCCTCTGAAAAATGATGGAGTGAGTAACAGTTGGGATGATTACATGCCCAATAGATGGACAAATAAAACATGGCTTCGCACCGCGGTGGAATCCTTTCCCCAATGGCACTGATGGGACGTCAATCCGGCAGGATCGCGTTTTGAAAATGCCTTGGGCCCTTCACTGAGGGTTAAATGAAAACAGAACATCTAAAGCACACAAAAAACACGCACACACACACACATACATAGAAAAAAATACAATTACAATTAGAGATGATTAAAAAGATATATATCAGAATTATACATGAAAGTTCCACCACCCCAGATCATCTCTGAAATTCGGAAGGGTAGAGAGTTTGGAAGAGGATTCCTACAACCTGCAGAATCCAACCGGGATTGATCCAGTCCATCAGCCATTGGCCCCGAGAACACTGTTGCTTGGTGCTTAGGCGAGTCGACTGTGGCTTCAACCCATCCCAAAGATATCAGTCAAGTGCAGAAAACCAGCCATGAATTACGTATAGTAAATTCATGCTCAGCAAAAATTATCTATGTCAACTGTATCTGGTTGGTGGTTGAGCCACCCCTCTGAAAAATGATGGAGTTCGTCAGTTGGGATGATTGTTCCATTCCCAACTGAATGGAAAGTCATAATCCACATGTTCCAAATCACCAACCAGTTATAATATGTTATAATCAGAATGGCCTCGCAGCGCAGCTGGAAACATCGAACCACCAAGGTCACCAAGCAACAATGAGCAGCCACATGTGATCCGATCGGATCTTCCCCGGCAAACGTTCCTGCCAAACAGCGGGCAAAAAAAGAATGTCCCGGTTTTTTGGCACTTTGCAAAACTTCACCATTCAAAACCATTTAATCTGGAGATACTTCGACAAAATAGGTTTTAAATTTCAAACCTCTGGATTGAATGTTGAAACCAAAATAGTATAAACCCCATTAAATTTGTCATATTGGATACCATTGATTCATATTGATTCAATCACTGAAAATATGATTGATTCAGATCTCACAGTTGCCAGCTGCTGGAGGACATGATATGTTTGCATCGAATTTCGTGACCATCTCAGCCATCAAGGTGTGGACAGAGCTGACCGATAATCTGCCCTCGGGGCCGGCGAAGAATGACCGGATGAGACACCTCCATGTCAGGTTGTTCCTTCCATACCTTGCTTACAATATTGTATATTGGCTTACAACATATAAATGCATGATTTATCTACCTAGCTATCTACTGTACCTCTCTTTGTTATATCGATCTCTGGGTCTTACCTATCTATATTCATATATTATATATTATAGTATATTCATATAAATATATATATGATTATATATGTATATATATCTAGAAACTAGCTGAGGCAACCATTCTTCAGAGCTGACCAACTCATGGCCGCTGGAGCCACGGCTGGAGCTACGAGAATGATGGGACAATCCGTGATATATCTGGGTAAATGAAAAAATAATTCGCTCACCTGAAACTTGCGGCTATCTTGGAGATGATTCCCCGAATCCTAACCATGATTATAGGTGATATATGGTGATATATTTTTTTCAGTCACTACATTCATACTGATTGAATGGGAGACCCCGCATTTCCGGCCTTCCAGCTTGCTGTCAAAAAATCACAAGTTTTGTCAACTATCCAGGTTTGCCCATTAAAAAAGGCATTAGATCCGAAAGGCCCATTAGATCCTGTTAAATCCCATTCAAAAATATTCAAAATTCAAATCCCATTCTAGCCATCCCAAATTCCATGGCCATCCAAGCATCTTCGTTCCTCCGGCGCCGCCTGTAGCAACTTCACCCGCCACGCTTGGTCGTGACGCGCAGCGTAAACGCCCTGCGCCGCGGCGTAGAGGTTGGGCAGCACATGTTGATCAAAGCCGATGCGATCTGGGCTGCCCTCCTGCAGGTGGTTGGGGCGACCTTTCGATTTGAACATATTTCTTTTCGGGCCTCATTCCCTTCCATATCTGTCATATCTGATATCCGATATCTTTTCATGGACCATCTCTTCCAAATCTTCTCATGAGGCATGCTCTTGGGCTAGGAGCTCGGCAGAATCCAGGATGAACACCCCACAAGTCCATGTCAAGATCCGAAGGGTCTTCATCCATCTTGAGTCATTGCCAACCCAGCTTTTGTTGGATGTTCCACATGTTGTTTTTAGCCCTGAGATCCACCGAGATTCTGAGAAGTCGATGCGCTTCACATGCAGCACATCTCCTTGAAAAAAAGCGCAAGCATCCCAGCCCCACCAGCTGGATCCATTGAATACATTGATCTTCAAGATAGAAATAATAACAAACAATAACTGATGGTAACCAAAAACAAAACCTAGGTGTATCACACTAAGACTAGCTGCGGTGCTTTGGCCAATGGGTGGAAAAACAACAGGACACCTAATGAAAGCCACCAGCTGTGAGCATCCGCATGGTTTGATGACAATCATTGATAGGTATGGTGAGGTGTGGGCAGCTGGTACTTCAGTGCGACACCCTGCCATGACATACTGCTCAAACATGGCGTACTGGAAAATCCACCATTTACTTCGCTGTTTTTCCCAGCTAACCTTCATTTATAGGGGAGCACCCCGCTATGAAGTCCGTGGAAGCCCTGATGTCAGAAAGGGGTGTAGATCCACAGGCGGCATTTTTTCCACCTTAAAAAAAAGGCAAAATTTATCAGTCCCGCGATTTTCAGAAAACCACAATCCCTCCTGCTGGTCTTATCTTGTTTATCCCGTGTCTTCAGCTGAAATACCATTGACTTCGGCTAAATCCCTAGTTTTGCCCAGCTTCCAGTTGTCCCCTGCCGCAAGCACTGCACCAAATCACCGCGAAGACAGCCCAAGGCCCGACAATAGCTGCAGAGCTGCACGATGTCGTAGATCTCAGGGGGGTCCTGGAATAGGCGAACTGCGAAGTTTGCAAACGTTGACACGACATGCGCTGTTTAATCAAAAAACACTGGGATTTAAACACAACAACTAGGGATTAAATCAAGAAAAGAATTCAATTTAAGTGTATCCATCAAAATAGGCGTTAAACGCTGGAACCAACAATTGTTGCATGGAATTTCACTGGTTACACCGATTTGTACCGTCTGGTAACCAAACTTGGCAATGATCCAAATGCCCCACGTAGGATCTCATACATCATGTCACCACATGATGCCTATTTTCGCAGTACATGTTGGTACATGGTTTACCATCCGCAAAATCACAATCATTTAAAGCTATATAATCCCAATCTGGTTGGTGGTTGAGCCACCCCTCTGAAAAATATGAAAGTCAGTTGGGATTATGACATTCCCAGTATATGGAAAAATAAAGAATGTTCCAAACCACCAACCAGCAATCAAACTGCTCATGACCGTGGATTTTCATGGACTTTCCATATAAGTCCTCAGATAGATGTTTGATTACCGCAGATCGTTCTGAAACACGGATACTATATATATATATATACAGTCATCCTACCCTCCGGTAATCAAACATGGCTTGAAACCCCACCATTTCCAGAAGGATTTTCAGGACCCCAAAATGGAATCCCCACTATTTCCTTACATAGCCCTTACATAGGCCTTATTATATGGTACCTTTCGGTTCCTGAAATGGCCATTGACATTTAGTTAAGTTCGATGATTTCCCAAGCTACAAACCCCCGTGGCTAGGCCACGTTTGGATCTTGCAGTGGGAGCTTGGGAAATTTTTCACATCTGTTCACATCAAAGCTGCTAGTTATGGATGTTTGGTGCTCATTCCCCCAACAAAATGGAACATATACCCTCGGGCCAACTGACCTACAGCAACATACAGTAACTATGGAAAATCACGATGTTTATATAATATATAGGTAAATAATGGTAAATAAATCATCCATAAATGGTCCATTTTCAGCGATATTAGTAAAAACTGCGAGGCAATAGGTCTTGACCGATCTCCAGATCTATTCACCATCATCTCCGCTAAAACTCATTCAACACTTACGAAGCTATGCAAACATGGTGGTTTCATGATGTTTCATTACCCAGCAAAAACCACCATTTTTGCATCGTTTCGAACCGGTTTTCAGTGGCCATTTTTCCGATTTTCCGAGCGTCTTTGATTCGACCCATGCGGTGTTTCACCTCCACCACCAGCGTCTCATCTGGGACCTTCGAACGGAGTTTCTTGGGTTTTCTTTTGGGGAACTTGGATGGAAATATCAAAGGATTTATGGTGGTTTATAGGAAGGATGTTAATGGATATGGCTCATATGATGTGTTTATGGGCTTTATAATGGGCTTTATAGGATATAATGGGTTTTCCTACTTGGATATAATGGATTTTATAGGGATGCTATGTGATATGATTACGTTTTTAGTTCATGGGATGTTCATGTGGTAAAGCCAATGCCATAGTCATTATCCCCAATAGAGAATTAATATGAGTTAATTATTTTTGGGTATACTCCCCTATGACTGGGATGATTTAAAATGACACCCAAATAGTTAATGGGATATGATATAATGGGATGGTTTATTCTTGGGTTTGCAACATTACGCCAGTTCCATGTCGAACATCCCCAGCTGTCGGTCATAAATGACTGCTATATTGACTGGGATCCAATGCAACCTTGCCCCAATAGCTCGCAATCCCGGGAATGACCAGCAGTGCCATAACTGGATGGAGCTGGTCTGGGCAGGTTTTGAAGCTTCCAATAACATCTGTTGGGTTGGTGCCTGCATCATTCAGACTGATTTTGCAGTTTGCTTCCCCCCCTCATCCGTTAAAAATGTAAGCAGCATGATCTCAATCCATAATCCATTTATCATTCATAAGTGCAACAACATATAGCAGAATAATAAATATATAATCCTCTTGGTTGCTGAAGCATCACTAGCCTGCCAGTGGGTCAACATGTCTGAAGTAGGATTGAACATACGACGTAACCTCCATCAAACCAACGTAGCTATGGGTCAGGGCCCATTTCATTAGATGTTACCACGATTTACTTTCAAAAATGGGGGACACTCATAGATTTTCATAGATTTCCACGTTACTTTACCGAAGGGTATCTGACACCACCAACAAGCCAAGATCGGGCCGCCGGTTCCCAGGACACTTCTGGCCAGTTGCAGCGACAGGAGCTGAAGATCCAGCGCCTGAGGCGATGACTTGGGGATCAGTTATGGCATTGGGTTTAGCACAGTGGTAAAAAAAACAATAGTTATCAAGTTATATCAAGCTATCAATATGCTCCAAAAGTTATGGTCATGGCTATAGATAATTATAGTAACACTTTAGTAATGGTCTTCCTGTTTCTTCAAGTCAAGACATTTCGACACTTTCGGGAACAATAGGAGACATGCCATAGTCACTCAATGGGTTGCATGTTGAAAGTAGGAAATGAACTAAAGATGTTCCCGCAAAATCCAAGAAATCTACTGATTCTGAAGCACTCCCATGCTTGACCATCATCAAGCCTGTGACACAGTCGCACTGGTGTGCCTGAAATCACCCGCTGTTGAGTCACCGCTTTCAGGTGGCGACATTCACAATAAATTGTGATGGTTTAAACATGTTTAAACATATCGCACAAATTCGACTCAATGGTCCGTTGAATCCATGCTCCTTGCTGGCAAAACGTTGTTTCCAGCGACCCCCGCAACTGTTTTACTCCCTAAACTCTGATGTTTGATGGTTCAATCTTCAATTTGTTTGGGTCAATCGAATCATATCAAATCAGCAATTCTTAGTTGGTTAAAATACGTTAAAATCATCAAATCTTAGTTGGGGATAGTTGAAGATTTGATGATGGAACCGTCAGTTGGTTACCCTCTGGAAATTTAACATAACTATGGAAAATCACCATTTATAGTGAGTTTTCCCACAAAGCATGGTGATTTTCCATAGTCATGTTAAATTACCAGAGGGTACCCTTGCAGTTGTAGATGATTATCGATGAGTGTAGATTTTATGGAACAAAACAGGTAGATGAAAACAGATTCACCGGGATGTTGTGGCTTGGGTGTCAAGATTATCCAAATTACCAGAGGGTAAAGCATATTAAATCCTCCAATTTCTCATGGTTCAATCATCAAATCTCCAACTGCTGCAGTGTCCCGTTGAAAGCAGACGCCTGGACCCGGGCTGTTGCGTGGCACATCCACCAGGCCGTCAACGTAGCCGGTGAGGTAGAACAGTGGCTTGGCACCTGGGCCATGGGTGATTTATGATTATGTTTGGATTGATGTCTGATGATTTTTGACGATTTATGATGTTTTTTGTTGTTTAAATATGTTTAAATCATGCCTGATGATTTTTGAAGACCTCTTGCACTGATGTCTGTTGCTATGATTATTTTCGGATTGAACTTGATAAATGCTGGATCGATTTTTGATGGGTCATAGCGGGAATTGTAGCCTAACATATAGCCTGGGCCAAACCGTATGGAAATTCTCATAGTGATCAACATTTTTGATGAGAAAAGGGTTTGATAATTGTGGATGTTTGGATATAACCTGATATTGGTATGTGCATGTATGTGCTATAGCGGGATTGTTCATGGGATTGTTACTGTATGTTTCTGGTATATAACGGGATGCAGTATCATAACGGCTATATAATGAGGATACATCAGGAGAATCATGGGATAATCGGGATGATGGGAACTCATATCTTGGGGATTTCGCCCCGTTCAGGTGACCCCAAAATTATGTTTGGGTTTATTTTTTGGGCATATTCTAACCATCAATAACCCATGATCACGGCGAAGGTTCATCACTGGGTTCATGGTCGGCAAGGAACCCCCATCCCATCGCACCTTGGTCGGTCGCGGGCGCCGCGGGCGCCTGGTCGCGCGGCAGCGCGGCAGCGCTGGCAGGCGGTGGAAAGGCTTGGCACAGCGCGAAGTTGGGACCTTCTGCGGGCATCGGCAGGAAGACACCTGGGCGATGGCGCCACCAAGATTTTCTGTAGCTGGTTTCACCCCATGCCTAAAGATAAAGAGTATCAAAGTCAGTGGGCATCGTCCAATCTTGGTTGGAACAGGACAAAATAGGAGTTGAACCGACCAAATCTGGCATTGGTCAATGTTAGTACTGCCTGGGTGAAACAAACATGTTCGCCATCTGACCCCCAAGGTAGTGGACGTGAACCTGTCTCTAGGATGCTGAAAGAGGTCACGCTTGCACATCTTGCGCGCAAGTGTTGCCAAAGGAACACAGGGATATCATTGTTGGTTTAAATCCATTACGGTACCGGAGAGTTGTTATTGAGAGATCTCATTGCTAAAATGTGCAAAACGTATTGTTACTGTTTTCCCTGTCACTCACATTCACTTATCACCTCCAAAGCAGAGAGAAGCAACCACAGTAATTACCTTTGGACACAAGGCCATGTCTCACCATTTTAAGTCCTCCATATCTTGAACGAACTACTTCAGTCCATCAAAGTTTTTCCCCATCAAAATGACCATTTGGATGGTATACCGCACTTTGAATCACACACACAAATCCAACGTTGATGGTCATATATGTTCTCATTGTCAATACGTGATTGTCCCATGAAATCATCACTATGCAATTTTTGTTGGTTAAATATCCTCAATGTCTCATGCGTTTTCTCCGAAAGACCCCCATTCCACTCTTGGCCGCGTCACGCTTCTGCTGGCCGTAAACATCTGCACCCACTTTCTTTTGGTAGCGTTCGATGGCGGAATCCTACATCATCCACGGAGAGGGCCAGCATGTTGAGGGCGATAAGGCCCCGTGTTGGTATCTGAATGTTTCCTGAGGTTGTGGTAGCAAATATGGTGAGATGATGTGAGATGATATAAAGATGGTAGGGAAATAGGGAGTTTTAAGGTTGTGGTATGCTTAAATTTTGTTCAATTGTCGGGCAAGGGGAACTCGGGAGTAACAGTAAACGTCTCAGCCAAAATCAGCTGCAAACAGGTGGACATGGCCTAGCTTTTCCTCAGATACCTAGCGAAAGATTTTCATCTTTGGCTGGTCACTAGTTATTATCCTTGATTTGGGGGTTTCCAGAAATGGGGGTACCCCAAGAGCTGGATGGTTTATTTCATGGGAAAACACATCTATAAATGGATGAAAACTGGGGGTACCCCCATGACTTAGGAAACCTCCATTTATGGCTAAGAAACAGAGTACTACCATTGCCCATCCAAGGTTTGCGCAGAGACAGGCCCATCCTCTAGGAAGATAACCTGTCAACGGACCATTCCCCACAAATGACAGATAGTTTTCACATTTTTGCCCACAAAGGAGTTGGCTGACTGTCGGAGTCTTGAGAGGGAGGTTATTTCAAGTCATTCGACAGCGATAGCGATAATCCTACCAATGTGGGTAAAACAAGAATAAACCATCCCCCAAATCACAATTTTTATGTGGTATAAACCATTCCCAAATGGGTGATGTATGGCATTGTTTTTCCCACATTGCTGGGGCCCAAGCCGCGAGCCCAACGATGCCGTCCTCGTGTCGCGCTCCAAAGTCTAGGTTCACCTGGCGAGGCGATGGCAGCTTGGGGAAATCCAATCAACATATGTGCACAACAGATTTCCAGAATAGATGTTCCAGAAAGTGCCCCCCAACACTTTTTTCGAAGTTACCTGAAATACTACTAAAACAGTGCCTGAAAATGTGCTACATTTAACCGGTTCATATCGTTTCATAGCATTTCCGTCCTTTTCTCATGGTTAGCCTTTGGTAATGGGCGATCTCGCTGGCCTCCAGCTGCAGGGTTTGTTGCAACTCTTCAGCCTCGGGACATGGATACTAGACATGATGACAAATGATGATAAATGATGACAAATGATGATAGACGTTGATTGATCAATTGGACAACCAAACTCAACATGGAGGTTTAAGCAGCAAACATGGATTTCTCTCTATTATGATTTAAGCAACATACACACGCAAATTTCACCAAGGACTGGGCTAGCAACCTTCCATGGGATCTTCCATGTAGGTGGACGATTAAGCACAATTAAGCAACATTTGAAACGCCAAAGCAACCAGTCATCACAGGGTCAGGTCAAACTTACCCGATCTTCCCCATTTGGAAGCTAACATTACAGGAAGGTTCGCGAACCGAACCGCGAACCGGGAACCGAACCGCGCGAACCGGAAACCGCCCAGAAACCGGCAGTTGGGAAACCGAACCGAACCGAACCGCTAATGTATAAAATAAGCTCCCGAACCGGACGAATCGGAGGGAGGAACCGGATGCGAACCGCCGGCATGTGCTCTGTTTGTTTCTCTCAAGCAAACGTTCCCTTCAATCTCTGCCCTCGTATTGGATTTGTTTTTTTTTGGAAGCCCCACAAAAACCAAAAATACAACCCTTGTGCCCTCCTATTGGATTTGTTTTTTCTGACAGCACCAAAAAAGCAAAAACGCAACCCTTGTGCCCTTCTAATTGTTTTTTTTGAAAGCACCACAAAAACAAAAAACACAACCCTTGTGCCCTCCTATTGGCTTTGTTTTTTTGGAAGCCCCAAAAAAAAGCAAAAACACAACCCTTGTGCCCTCCTATTGGGTTTGTTTTTTTGCAGCCCCAAAAAAAGCAAAACCATAACCCTTGTGCCCTCCTATTGGACTTTTTTTTTGTGTGGAAGCACCACAAAAGCAAAAAGCACAACCCTTGTGCCCTCCTATTGGATTTGTTTTTTTTGGAAGCCCACCCCAAAAAAAACAAAAACACGACCCTTGTGCCCTCCTATTGGACTTGTTTTTTTGAAGCATCAAAAAAGGAAAAACACAACCCCTGTGCCCTCCTATAGTTTTTTCTGGAAGCACCAAAAACGAAAAAACACAACCCTTGTCAGTGCCCTCCTAGTGCATTTGTTTTTTTTGGGAGCCCCCCAAAAAACAAAAACACAACCCTTGTGCCCTTCTATTGTTTTTTTGGATGCACCACAAAAACAAAAAAACACAACCCTTGTGCCATCCTATTGGATTTGTTTTTTTTAGAAGCCCAAGAAAGAAGAAAACAAAAACAACACCCTTCTGCCCTCCTATTGGGATTGCTTTTTTTGCAGCCACAAAAAGGCAAAAACTCAACCCTTGTGCCCTCCTATTGGATTTGTTTTTTTTAGAAGCACCAAAAAAGCAAAAACACAACCCTTGTTCCCTCCTATTGGATTTGCTTTTTTGGAACCCCAAAAAAAGCAAAAACACGACCCTTGTGCCATCCTATTGGATTTGTTTTTTTCTGGATGCACCAAAAAAGCAAAAACACAACCCTTGTGTCCTCCTATTGGATTTGCTTTTTGGGCTCTCCTATTGGATTTGCTTTTTTGGAAGCCCCAAAAAAGCAAAAACACAACCCTTGTGCCCTCCTATTGGATTTGTTTTTTCTGAAAGCACCAAAAAAGCAAAAACACAACCCTTGTGCCCTCCTACTGGAGTTGTTTTTTCTGAAAGCACCAAAAAAGCAAAAACACAACCCTTGTGTCCTCCTATTGGATTTGCTTTTTGGGCTCTCCTATTGGATTTGCTTTTTTGGAAGCCCCAAAAAAGCAAAAACACAACCCTTGTGCCCTCCTATTGGATTTGTTTTTTCTGAAAGCACCAAAAAAGCAAAAACACAACCCTTGTGCCCTTCTATTGGATTTGCTTTTTTGGCAGCCCCCAAAAAGCAAAAACACAACCCTTATGCCCTCCTATTGGATTTGCTTTTTTGGCAGCCCCAAAAAAGCAAAAACAAAACCCGTGTGCCCTCTTATTGCATTTGCTTTTTTTGGAAGCCCCAAAAAAGCAAAAAAAACTGGTGCCCTCGTATTGGATGTGCTTTTTCGAAAGCCACAAAAAAGAAAAAGCACAACCCTTATGCAAAGCACAAACACAACCCTTGTGCTCTCGTGTTGGATTTGCTTTTTTGGCAGCCTAGAAAAACGAAAACAGCCTCCACGACCAGGTCCACCTGACGCAACGTGTCCTTGACATGAATCATAACAACCAACTAACTGGGAACATGTTTTGCTTTTTTGAATGGCCGTAAAAAGCAAATACCAAGACCATGACTTACTCCGAACCGGTTAGGAACCAGAAACCAAACCGGTTAGGAACCGGAAACCGAACCGAACCGAACCGTTTTTTAAATTATATCCCGAGGAACCGAACCGAACCGAACCGGGAACCGGAAATTCACCAGTTCCTGGAAACCGAAACCGAACCGAACCGAACCGAACCGATCCCACCCTGACATTATGGCCAACATAGTTCTTCCATCCCTGACCCAACCTTCTTTCATATGCCAGAACCCCCCCTACCCAACCCCCCTACCCCTACCCGCATCCCTTACCCCACTCCCCCCAATCCCAACCCCCAACGAGGCCATACCAGGCCTCCTGGTCGTTCACCTTTCCCTCCGCCTTCGACTTGGCCACCAACTCCCGCAGCGTCTTCTGCGCCTCCTGCGCGGCCTCCACGTTCTGCGCTCGCTGCGCGGAGCTCAGGGCGGCCTTTAAGGCTGCGGCCTGCGTGCAGGGTCGGATGGCTTGGGATGGGGACTGTTTTGTGACATTTTGTGCTTAAAAAGCTCGTAAAAAACATGTGTAAAGATGGAAAAAGATGCAAGCACGTGCAAAAACTAGGAGAATTGAATGATGAACAGTGGCAAAAAGAAATGATCTTTTGATAGTAAAAATGGTAAACAATTGATATTTCATGGCAACGTACGAACCAAAAAGACCAAGCCACGAAAACCAACCATTCACCAGTCGGTTTTCTCTCCCTTGTTTCCCCTTGCCTCGCCACTCTTCTCTATGAGTCGTTCTCGTTCCACTTCAGGGGAAATCACCTGGTGCACGGACTGATTCACTGGGTCTTTACCAAAACCCGCATGTTTTTAACCGTGTTTTGTTGAGCATCCTTACTTTAGGCCAAGTCCAACCTCCGACCGGTGGATAGGAATTCAAAAAATGGGGTGCCATTGGTGCCCCTGTCGAATTTGATCATGCTGCAAAACAGCAGATTCCGGGGGACAACGAAATGCTGTGAAATTGCAAGTAGGTAACGTGGATGAAAGAAGTCCTGCACCAGTTGGTAAATGGTTTATCCATGTTTATCCCGTTATGTTCCCATCATTTACAATGCATCATAGCCACCCATGGTTACCAACTGTTGCAGGATTTCTTCCATCCACAGTATGTAGGAAACACGCGTTTATTCCTACCGGCCGCTCATCACTGATCATTGATAAACAAGTCATGAAACAGTCACATGTTTTAATTCGAAAAAACTTATATACATAAACCAGGCATCAATCCTGCAAACAGCAAAGGCACCCAGCAACAAACATATGTCTCCCTCATCATATTTCTGAGTGTTTCTCCCAGAAAATATTGGGGGTTTTCATCACGCCCCCGCTCCCCCACCTCGACGCCAGCCAACTTGGCATCTTCCAACAACAGCTCGGGCAGGTCCTGCTGTGGGTAAATCATCCTTAAATGGGCCATCTGTACCATAGCATACCATAGCGATGCAACGGCTTCCTGGAGGGTATACTCATATGATTGGAGTTCCAAGATTGCTGCTTGTTTCTTTGCCCCACCCCTGAATTGAGTCCCGGAAACCGCTTCCAGCATGTCCCTGACAATCTTTCCCTCGTGGCATGCCCCGGGCTGAAACTAGAGATGCAGCATCTCACAAAAATCCAGCGGCAATCAACTATTCCTCCATTAAGTTCCTCAACGAAAAACAACATTTATCATGAAGGCTTAACAGGTTTAGCCAGCGTAGTGCCTGTGTTGTATAACTTACATGGTTTTGTACGGGTTGCTATCCACACAAGGTTGACTGTTAACAAATTGGCCCAGTGGGCAATGGCAGATAACCTGCCAAAACAATACTCGAGTTGGTATGAACCATTTGATGGAGAATGCCAGGGAATTACCATCAAAGACACCAGTCCCTTTCAATCTTCTCAATATTTGCTAGTGAAAAATCCCCATGACTATTTGTAACAAACATCACAGTCCCAGGTTTTGCAACTCAGCACCATCTTTTCTCAATGTTTTTTCGTCTTTCGTCTTTGTGGCTACCACATCTCGTCCAATTTACATCCCTTGCTTTTCAACATCTACCATTTCTTCCGAATGAACAAAGGCCTATCTATCACCTGGTCGCCGGCTTCAATCCATCTCCAGTTTCGTATCATCCCATGTTTTGGATTTTTCTCTTGCTATCATCCCGTTAAAAAAGCACCCGCTATATTTTGTGCTGAATTTTAAATGCAATCATGACCACTGTAGATATTCAAATGACCACTTAACAATAGATATTATTGATAGATCTTATATTAATATAATAGAGGAATTCTGTTCTGTTTCATTTCAAACTATCATTGTTTCAATAATATCTTCCATAATATCAATTATAATCATTTCCAAACATCCTTTCCATCAATTTCAGAATTTTCCCATACAAATCATGGTGGTATAATGGGGATATAATGGAATATTCATGAGATATTGGTTAATGAGATCATTAAAGTACACCATTCTTCATCCTTAAATGATGGAATATAAATATCACAAATCAATGATATAAAAACTTCATAAAACTTACAGATTTTTTCCATCCATTTTCATCCTAAAAAATCACGTGCCTTTTCCCCATTTCCTTCCGCCTTCCGGTCCTGGTACAAGAGCTCCAGGAAGATCTCCCCCACCTCTGCATAGGGATGGATCCCGGCCACCGCCGCCGCGCGCCCGGCCGAGATGCGCAAGACGCCCTTGCGGCGCCTTGGTGGTGGAGGCCCCGGAGAAACCGCGGTGATTTTTGGGTGGGAAAACCGTGGAAAACTCAGAGATTTCTCGCAGTTCTTGTATGGCAATGATAAGAGTGACCCCCGGAAGCTAACCTTGAAAAAATAGGGAAAACATACTCAGTTTTTTGGGGCATATCCAATTTCCATACACACCACAGAAGATCCACAAAATGCATGGAATATTATGGGCGTGAAATAGTTTTAGGATTTTTTTTTTGAGCAGGTTTGTTTTTTTTTTTGGATTTCTTGGCTGGTACCATTTGCCTAGTGTTTGCAACGGTTTGGAACTTGAATTTGTCATTTTGCATGGTATTTGCCACATTTGGGCATGTTCACCTTCCATTTTGCATGGGATTTCCTACATGTGGGCATGTTCACCTTCCATTTTGTATGGTATTTGCCACACTTTGGCATGTTCACCTTCCATTTTGCATGGGATGTTCTACATGTGAGCATGTTCACCCAAATATCTACAGATGCGGAAGCTTGGGATTAGATAAAAAGCAGGTGGGGGGGATTGAGGGAGGGCGCTAGCTATCTATCCAGCTAGCTAGCTATCTAGCTATCTAGCTAGCTATCTATCTAGCAAGCTAGCTATCTATCTAGCAAGCTATCTATCTATCTAGCTATCAACCTATCTAGCTAGCTATCTTGCTAGCTATCTATCTACCTATCTAGCTATCTTAACTATCTGCTAGCTATCTATCTACCTATCTAGCTATCTAGCTAACTATCTATCTAGCTATCTATCTAGCTATCTAGCTTTTCTATCTATCTAGCTATCTATCTATCTAGCCATCCAGCTGTCTATCCAGCTATCTAGCTATCGAGCTATCTATCTAGCTATCTATCTATCTAGCTAACTATCTACCTATCTATTTAGCTATCTATCTATCTATCTAGCTACCTCTTTATCTATCTATCTAGCTACCTCTATCTATCTAGCTAGCTATCTATCTATCTATCTATCTAGCCATGTATCTATCTAGCTATCTATCCAGCCATCTATCTATCGAGGTATCTAGCTATCTATCTCTCTAGCTATCTATCTATCTAGCTGGCTATCTATCTATCTAGCTATCTATCTACCAAGCTATCTATCTATCTATCCAGCTATCTATCTATCTATCTATCTATCTATCACATGTAATCCTGTCAGCTTTCCAGAGAAGGTTAGTTCGCAAAAACCAACTAATGTAACTTGGGTTTAAGTTTAAATAAAAAAAAGCGGGAGGGGGGGATTGGGGGGAGGGCGCAGCGCCTCCCCCCAAAGCAGAATGCAAGCACCTCTTCTCACATGTTACGTTGCTAGTTTTCAAGAGAAGGTTGGTCATGTGATACTCAGGGATGTAAATACTGTGCAAAATGCATCTTACATGAAAATCAAGTATTTAAAGCAGGCAAAGCAAAAAAAAAAGCAGAGAAGCAAAAAAGCAGAGAAGCAAAGAAACAGGAAACGCACAAAAGCAAAACAGCAGAAAGGCAAAGAAGCAGGAAAAGCAGAAAAGCAGAGAAGCAGGAAAAGCAGGAAAAGCAGAGAAGCAAAGAAACAGGAAAAACAGAAAAGCAAAAAAGCAGAAAAGCAGAGAAGCAGGAGAAGCAGAAAAGCAAAAAAGCAGAAAAGGCGAGAAGCAGGAGAAGCAGAAAAGCAGAAAAGCAGAGAAGCAGGAAAAGCAGGAAAAGCAGGAAAAGAAGGAAAGCAGAGAAGTAGGAAAAGCAGAGAAGCAGGAATCCAAAAATAATTCCTAAACCTGATAAAAAAAAATCCTAAAATAATTAGCCCTCCATTATTTAATGGTGATATCAAAGAATGACTACTAAACTGGTGCACTGTTTCAATCCTCCGTGAACATATGATTGATGAAAGGGAAAATAATGTTTAACTATATTCTAAACATTCTAGCATTCTGGCTGAATGATTAGGAAAATACGATCAGCGCATCCCAAAATCACCAGCTTCAACGCTTCGCGGTTGAAAAACCCACCAGAAAAATCTCAACCAAAATGGGGATCACATCATCGCAGCCAGCAGACGAGGTGGATTTCGGCACTTCTTCATCGGAGTCCGGGATGAAGACCACCTTTGAAATATTTTGAAATCCAGTACCATTTCATCCATTTCTAAGCTCACTATATCTTAGGAAGTCCATGAATTCTGCAGAGGAATGTTTCATTTGCATAGCATTGTCTCAGGATTCAACGAGGTCAATTGTGAGACATTCCAAATGAACACGAAAGAATTTGCAGACTCTCAATGTAACCCCAGCATTGACGTTTCCATGTTCTCGTATGTTATTTTTTTTACACACGTTTATTCATTTTTGTAGATACGAGATGATACGAGTATGTTGAGGGTCAAGGTGTGCAGTTGGCCCCGCATTTAATCATTACGTCTCGCTTGCCGCATGCCGCGACAAACCCACGGGCCGCCTCATCCGTAGAAACCTTTCTTTTGGCGCGCACATCCATTCGTGTGGTTCCTTTGAGGCCTCAGTATATCTGAACAAAAAGGCCGATAGAGGCTGACAAGAATAAACCCAAACGGGGAGTGATCAGGTGCCCATAGGTGCCCATTCTCTTCAAGTTTGTATATATAAATATATATATATGTTTTCAATTTGCAATCAAACAATATCAGAAAATTATCTCAAAGTGCAGGTAATAGCCCAAAATTTTGGGATCCGAGAATTCAAGGGACATGTCTATTTTTTCAAGGCCACCTGCCACCTGCGGTGTTTTTGTTAATGCCCCAAGGGCAGCGCCGTATACGTTGGGACTTGGTACTCTTTGAAGAAGGTGAGTCTTGGTTGGACTTGACCATTGCCAGCCACGATCACTTGAAATTGCTCTTTACACCTTTGGCTCCACCAAGCTTATTACAAGGACCAGTGAAACAGATCCAGGTGCAAGTAGCCCTTCCAACATTAAATGTCCACAGCCAATCGAAAAACCGCTTCTTCTGAATATAGTCATCTGTGCCAGGGACTTCGCTGTTCGGTTCAGTGGCTCCAGATTCATCACCACAACCTTTGGCAACATACCCTCTGGTTATGACTAACATGGCCATGGTATAATAGATGGCCCATTTATGGACGGTTTACCTATTAAACATGGTGATTTTCCATGGCTATGTTAAATGACCAGATGGTAACTTGCAAGACACGATCTGTCACCGCACTATAGATTTCTCTCGTCAGCACTTTGCCAAGCCTTTTTCGGCCAGGACATCATCTTGATTCATTGTAACATCTGCTGATGACGCCAACAGACTCAGACCCTGGCGCCATCTCTTCCCAAATTCACGGGCTGAAGTCCAAAACACCATCAAACCAAAGGAAGATGATTTTTGGTTAATTCATGTTAATTCCGCTACTTCCCCTCACCAACAATCATTCTTGGTGGCATCGTGGTGTTGATTCAAGAATTGTCGTGCAGCAAACCAAAGCACATTTACTACTGTCAACACCGGGTCAACAACAAACTTTGGGAATCGGGGATTTTCCCAAATAGCTGCAACTTATTATTGAACATGTACCCTCCCAATGTTGTAAACACAATTATCAACCTCCAATACAACGCTTGTACATACCAGCCATTTTAACAAGCACTGGGGATATTGCTACATCGTCAGTAAACCTATGATTGTCGATTTTGCTTCTGGGTTCCCATGTCCACAGGAATCCCTTTTGGCTGTGTTCACCGGCGCTATGACACGGCTTGTGAGAGCTCCTGGGGCACGCGTTGAGTTACGCTGAAACACCTCCTCGTCAGTTGGGATCTTCCTCCCAAATAGGGTCGAAAATGAAACGTCTGTCAACTGTATGTCAAACATGTTAGAACCACCAACCGGATAAGATTGGATGGGCCTTTGACAGTTTCGAATCTTCAACACTTTTATGTTCTCCACTGCGTCGATGATCCTCTTTGAGCTGCATGGTGCAACCCTCAAACCCAACCCGGCAGGGATTCAGGGCAGCCATAGCTATGGCTGAAATAAAAATCCTCCAACACCACTATTTCAGGGTTCCATGAAATTTTTCCGTTTTCCGGTGAAGATTCCACGGCTTTCCCCACTTCTACCCGGCCCAGAACCGCAGAACCGGCACCTCGGTCAACGGCGACGCTGCGGTGTTTGCCGCGCCGGCACGTGCGGGGGTGGCGACTCGAACGGCGGTGACCAAGGGTTCAGAGGAGATGCTCTCGATGGAATCGGTCAGATCGATCTCCGTACGCGTCCTGCAGGAAGTTGGGAAGTTATTTGGAGGATCTTGGGAATATCTGGGAATCGCAACTGGTTAATCCATGGTTAACCCCATCCCCCCCGTGTTCCTTCATTGACTTGATTTCTTGTTTCATTCCTTCTATTGTTTGTTCCTTGTCTAAACCTTCGGTGTTGTTCACCCAAGGTTCCAGGGGAATCTTTTCAGCTTGTATCTCCTGTTCATTTTCGTTGGAGGTTGCTTCTATCTTCTGTCCTTTCTTCGTTGTGACTGTGACTTGTGAGATCCTCATCCTTGTTGTTGGTGGCTTCTGGGCCGTGTCAGGTCGGCTGGCTGCTGTGGCTCTTTCTGTTGTCCTTGCTTGCTTTGGTGAGCTGCCTTGTGTAATCTCGTCTAGTTAAAAACGCCCCAAATCGTCCCAAATATGTGCAAATCTTGTACTAAACCATGGTTTCTTGGGTGTTTAATTCTAGGGGGAGAGAGTAATGGTCCTGGTGGTGATCGTACTTTCTCAATTCGTGGATTGGCCTATTTAGAAATGGGTGTACTAGTGGCTTTATAAATCAATATCAATCAAGTATAATTTATAATGCAGTATGCTCAAGTCGTAACTTGCTATGTTGATCACTCTTGGGCATGGTGAATTTGCTATATATCCCAGCTGAGGCTGGTTGTATGAGTATGGCAAACATTAGATTCACTAGATATTTGGTCTTGCAAACTCTTTCGTCTTTCTAATGTATCAATTGCTGCACTTTGCCTGGTGAATCAGTGAATTTCCCTGTGATTATGAAGCAAGCAAGCCAAAGTTTAAGCAGGCAGCCTCCAACCCCAGAATTACGAGTACGAAGCCAAGTGTTTAGCGTCTGAGTTTGAATGACAGAAACGCATTTTACTCAGATTTATTGGGGCGTGCAATCCGCTGCTAGACCAGCTGGCTTTTGTCGCTGACTCAGCAGTGTGAAGGATTGAAAGCCCGTTTGCCCGCCTCGGCAAACACCATTGATTCAACTTTCTCTGCTTTCCATCCTCACGGATTCCGCATCACGTCGAGTGATTTGATTTATAGTTCTCGTTTTCATTCTGTTCTTATTATCGATTCCAAATCAGTTTAGACGTCTGCAAATCATACTTATTTTATGTACTGTAAATATTATTAAATATGCCGTTTCACTTGGATGTCATTCGTCTTCAATGGCAGAAACATGTAGAAGCCCATAGAGGGGCAGAGTGGTCATTCATCTCACTCTGCTCCTCATTAGCCTTCTTCTCTTCACCTCCCTTGTCTCTGCGCCGCTTTCCGTCTCCGCTTGCCATTGTGCTGTCCCAACGCTCTTGGTGAGTGGCTTTGTCTGGAAATAGGTTCTTCCCAAATCCGCTGCTTACTAATTGTTGTTCTATTAAACTGCACAAATTTGGTGGGGATACCCCATTCAGCTGACGATCTGAGAGGTGACGTAATAACATGTCTGTTTTTTGTAGCTGCGGAAGTCCATGATCCGCAGTTTTTCCATGACAAGTGTCTGGTCGCATCTACGTGATTTCCTCCCATTCTGCTCAACAGCCCCTTGAGCCCCATGATTTGGATCAGGACTGGCACAGGCGGTGCTGCGGAGAACTTCATTTTGTGGGATCTACATTCAAAAAAACATTATAAAACTATACCAACATGTTGATATTCTGTAGATCTTCCATATATTCCCTCATATTCCCCTACAAAAAAAAAACCAGTGGATGGTTGTGGATCCTGCTGTCCATGGCCGTGCTGTGCCCCTTTGGGGCTCCCTGACTTCATATCCTCCAGGGCTTTGTCGGCGACTCGCGACAGATCACCGAGTCTGGGCAAGGCGGCGTAGCGGGGGTGAACAAAAATGTCAAGCTCCCGTCTGCCACAGACCCTTGGGAATTCGAAAAGATTGGGGGATTAATGTGAATTACATCATGAACAAAAGAACTATGGCAGGCATATCATGGCATATCTTCTATTCATGAGGTTTTTATGCATTTTTTAGATACATCTACTGTAGATAGAATTGATGGATATTACAGCCATTGCATTTGCACATTATCCCTTTACCTCCTTGGGATCATCTACAAACGTTCCAGCAAGCCACGTAAATTTCTCCATTATTCTTTGGTTATGTAGATCCTCATGTCTCTTAAGTCACAGTTTCTGCTGGTTGAATCATCTAATCATTTTGTTTACTCAGTTTACATCAGATTTCATGCTGCTAAAATCCAAATGGGGGCAAAAATCCCACCGGCGCTCCACCAGGATATCATGCTCCGCCGGCGCGTTTTTCTGCTCTTCATCTTTGCTTCTATTTCTTTTTGCCGGCAACATATATTAACATATGACATATGGTAGAATGACATTTAGTGCCGGTAAAACCGCATCTATTGCTGCAAACTGTCATGAGGTGAGCAAACTCCAGCTCTCCTGTTACCCATTTGGTACGGAATATGATGGAACATGGATAATTACCTACAATTCTTGCTGAATTATATAATTATATATGCCCATATATAACAGTTCACTGATCTGCTAACAGCTGAAATAAGGTCATTTGGGCATGATCCTCCTTACTGACCATCCAGTGACGCCGCAGTGGGTCATGATGAGATTCTTCCAGCTCTATCTGCAGCTAACTAACTAGTTCGATATGATATATCTACCATAGCTATAGTTAACCTACAAATAATCTATATGATATGATATGATATGATATATAACCTATAGTTAACCTATCTTAACCTATAGTTCTAAAACAAATATAACTCCTTGCTTGCCCAACCAGCGCAACCCCCCCGGGTTCTCCCACGTTCCGGAACCAATTTTGTAGGGCGTGCTGCGGCGCTCTTCGAGGGTGCGTCCATCCTATCAAATCATGGGGGGAAACACCGGAGATTTCACCATGAAAAATGCTGACTTAGCGACGTTAAAATTGGGATGCTTAGCATCAAACATGGAGACTTCAAAAATCAAAGATAGTGATTTTACCAGCCAAAAAAGGGTTTATAACCAACACAAAGGGGATCTGTAATGATCTATAAAATGTTGGATACCGATAAGAGTCATGGGCCTCTATTGTGATTTTTTCAAAAATTATTGAGTATCCTGCAAATGGTGGGGGTGGTCCTCTATTGTGAATGTTTTTTTCTCAGATCCATTTTTTTCAGGAGGAGCTTTATCCGCCTTTATCCACCTTCTTTGGGTAAAGCTGGTCCATTTACTTTAGACAACCATATCCATGTTAAAGCCTTGAAAATGCAAGGTTTCCCAAATAATTAGATGCATTATTAAACTCGTATTTAAAAACAGAACCCAAACCATTTTTTGGAGGGGGTACCCCATGAGTGACCCAGATCCTCAATCATGTAATTGTTTGGATGTCACCCTATTGTGCACAAAACTTTTGGGGTGAAAAAAACAAAACCTTTTATCCACCTTTCTTTGGGTAAAGCTGGTCCATTTACTTTAGAAAACCATATCCATGTTAAAGCCATTTCCATTAACAAAAAAAGGCAACGGTAGGGCTTTCACTCACATTCCGTGGGGTTAATCACTAGCAAAAAAGGGGCAACGAACATCAATGATCAACACTGTGGATGGATTTTGCCAGCAAAGATTAGCCAGCAAACCTTATGATTTCATCACGGATAGTTTTGATCCTATCAAACATTTGAGCAAATTCCAGCCATTTCAGGTATTTTGGTCGATTTTTGTGGATTGTTTATAGCAGCGCCGCCCCAAAAACAGAAAAGTAAAATCAAGCTATACAAATCATTACAAATCTAGAATCTCGACTTATCTACCGTTTTGGGTAAGCTTTTTCTTTCACTTAAGGTTTTTTTTTTCCGATCCCCCACGGTGGAGCACCTCCGCCGCTGCTCGAATGGAAATCTCCACCTGGAGCCACATGATAGTCCTTTTGGGTGCTGAACTGAAGCCACCGAAAAATGATAGATTTGTCGTATAAAACTTACTGGTGCTTAGCAGGGAATGGATGGGAATGGGGGAATGGGATGATTATTACTAGTGATTATGGATCATTCCCTCATTCCCTACTAAGCACCAGTAAGAAAATTATTGACAATGGTTTGCTTCCTGCCCTTCAACGGGCATTTGTCACCGGCATTTTATCTGGGGCGAAGGCAATTGACCTGAGAAACTTCAGAGCTATGGATGTAAGTAGACGATATCTTTAGCGTAGGAGCAACTCCACCACTGGGGCTTCCAAGGCCAGAACGTCCGCTTGGAAACAGCATCTGCAAGTCTGGAAGGGAGAGACAGTTTGCTTGGGATCAGCTTGGAATGGGTCAAAGGTCTAAGTCGTCTCCATTTTCTCGAGGAAGGAGATGTTGCATTGCAACAGGGCCTGCAAACTCTCGCAACGGTAGCCATTCTTGCAATGCGCCGCCGAGCAGCCAGGGGAAGGGGCGGAATTTCTTTGCGTCAAAGTCACTGTCTTTCAGTTGAGGCACTCCTTTGCCATTTTCTTCAAATCATCTAGAACTCGGACTAGCTGCCACTTAAATGGACCCCAATGGAGCGCAGTTGTAGGTGGCTGAAATTCTTCAAAGCCCCCCTGACCCAACATGTTTTCACCAAGGATTTGGAGAACATGGAAGTGGAAACAGCTGGGATCTATAGGGTTCATTATCCCTATGATCAACATGGAAGTGGAAATCCGCAATGTGTCATAGCAAAATCACAAACGCCACTTATGCCGGACAAGCCGGGATAATCTATTTGTGCACATTGATGGACTGACGGCAAACAATGAGCCCAATCCCGTGCATTCCACAGGGGTTTCGCTGGGGTTTTGTATTCTGAGAATAAGACGAGAAAATGCAAGACACACATTACAACATATATCCATGCAAGTATGTATGTACATTTATACAATATCTGCATAATATATATATATATCTGACAAACACACATGCTGCATGATGTTAAAAGTAAAACATGGTAAACATAGCTGAAACATGGTGTCCCGAAACCTCCCAACAATACTTGGGGGAATTCGGAAACATTCCCAGTTCGGAAGCGGTCAATGGTTGATCCCCTGGAAAAAAGTGTACCCCTTAGTGGGATGACCTAAAATTGCATCAACATCCCAAAAACACTAAACATCCATGTAGGAGGCACATCTAATTCAGAATATTTCAGAATATTCAAGCACAACAATCCAAAATGCTCATGTCATTTATAGTCTTATAGATTCCAGAGTTGTATTTCCCATGGGGAAAATGCACAAAGCACCAAAGAGGCCCAGCCTCGCTCCCCTCAGTCAGGCAGCCGAAACCTTGTCCTTCTTGCAGGACAGTCCTGCAAAGGAAAAAACATGGCCGGAATTTGGGGGGAAATCTACGGAACTACGCAGAGATGACCACCCAAATATAGATAACCATTCCGTTCTTAGGTGGAAAGAAGTCATGGATTTCACATTCGACAATCCAAAGTGAAACTTTCATGGAATTTCACAAATGAACGATTCCCTTATATAACTAAACTTAGATACAATGCAAAATATCTAATTCCGTGTTGGTTAGTCGGTTAGTTTTTTCATTGTTTTTTCCTCAACCAAAGGTTAACATCATCGCCCAATTTTTACAGATGGAACATCACACATATTTGAAACCGCACACCAGTGTATGATGTTTGGCATTGTCTGGTATCCATTTTTACGGTCAAGTATTCATGCGGAGAAAGGTTAAAACATAGGAATATACTACTTAGTATTTGTTTTATTCGCCATAAAATTGGAAATGGTTGACAATTGCATTCCCCTTTTTGTTTGGATGATGAATTTGCAATCCTTCGCCCAAATGACATAAACTCCATTTCGGGACATCGGGACATCAGGACTTATGAAGAACCCCGGGTTGGCCGGCTGTTTGCCCAGTCCTGATACATGCCCAGTCTCCGAACAAGTTGTCCTGATGGCAGGCCAGTGGGTCGCTCAACCTTTTCAGGGCTCAACTAATACTGGTTGGTGGTTTTAACCATCTTGAAAAATATGAAAGTCAATGGGAAGGATTCTCCCATATATTATGGAAAATAAAACATGTTCCGAAACCACCAACCAGAATATCTTCCAATATCACACGGATCAGTGAATCATTGACAACACTCACCCATCAAAAGATTCAGAAATGCAACCAAAACGTGGCAATAAAACATCAATGGACACCTTCTTCGTTGGGTATGTAACTATGTATGTCTGCCCGCCTCCCTGCGGCTGTTGATCTTTGGGGCACCCCCAATTTTACAACCAGGATCGATGGTTACCCATGAAACAACAACATGGAAATCCAATGAACTTCCATGAAATCTCCAATTCAAACAACATGAAATCACCAATTTTCATCCATTTTCCATGGTGTTTTCACGTTGGTTCCCCCAGCGACACCCCTCGCGGTTCAAACCCCGTGGGGTTCCCACGGCCGTGGAATTTTTTCACCGCGCGCAGGCAGCGCCAGAGCAGAGCCTCCGGGGACTTGGCAGGCGCAGTGCCAATGTGACCTGCGACGGATCAACCAGCCATTTGAGAATGGCAAACATACCATCTGTTTATGGTGACTGGGGGATGGTTGATTATTGTTTTACACACATTAATGGGAATATGAATGGGATATATATATATATTTAGGTATATATATGTATATAAAACCATATGGGTGTTGATAGGATGGCGAGCTGTTGTTTCTGCGAAGTTGGTGCATAACTAGCTTAAGTATGCTTTATGGTATATTTATAGTAGATATATCTGTGCTGATATTGGGTTATCATCTGTAGATTTCATGAAGAAAACCCACGCGGATTTGACTGGTCAGCATGCTACAGGAATCTTTCCCTCTCGGGGCATCCAATCGACTCTACTCCTATCCTCCTAATATGAAAAACACCTATACAAAAGCTGCCAAAGATGCGGTTTCATCTCCTACATTCACCATGGTTTCTGGTGGGGGCATATTAGTGTATATATATATATATGTATGTATGTCTGTCTGTCTGTATGTATGTATGTATGTATGCATGTATGTATGTATGTATGTATATTATATATGTATTAATCGGGTATTGATCCCATATCATACTGGTGCATTAACTTATCCCATTCATGCACCATTCATATCCGATCTCATCTCTTAGGATTAGACATGATTAAAACATATCCCATCAACATACCATGAGTCACTGTTCAGCATTCTTGATGGATATCAACTATCACTAAGGGGTATTACATGATATTTTCCATATATTGGGAATATCATCATCCCAACCGACGAACTCCATCATTTTGCAGAGGGGTGGCTCAACCACCAACCAGTATATATACCCTCTGGTTATTTAACATAGCCATGGTATAGATGGCCCATAGAAATAGATGATTTTCCCATTAAAAGCTCCATATTCACATTTTTATGTGGGTAAAACAATAATCAACGACCATCTCCCAGTCATCACTACAGTGTGGTTTATGAAACTATGGATAGACTGGTTTACCATTCTCAAATGGCTGGTTTGGCCACGATCACCTTGCCTCGCCCGTCTGCGTGTTCAGCACCTCGTGGAGATCACTGTCCTGGTGGGGAGAAGCACCGGGAAACAGGAAACCATGGGGAAACCATGGGAAAACCAGCCAAAACAATGGATTTGGAAATGTGTTTCCAGAAACTCGGAAAATCCTCATCATGGTGATTTTTTGTGCTAATTCTTGGGCTGGACGGACAGTTTTCGACCCTTTTTGCTGGGTATTCATTTTGAAGATACAGATGAGCATGGATCTGGTTGGGTGCCTCCTGTGGTTGTTGTATTCCATGTTTTTGGCGGGTTATTGTGTATCTGTTCTCATAGGTGAAACGTCGTAGCGAGGTGGTTGTCAAAACTCACCTATGCAAACAACTATATATCTAATTGGTGGTTTCAACCCCCCTGAAAAATATTAGTCAGATTGGATCATCATCCCAGCTGTTGGGGAAAATAAAAAATGTTCCAAACAACCAACCAGATATACATTCCATGTCTGCAAATTGGAATACAGACCTGGAAAACACACCATTGAGAAATATTTTCCTGAGATTCCCCAATGACTCTTTTCCATTGGTTTGTCAGTTTACCCCAGGACAAATCCATTTGTTTAAGGCCAAACATCAATCCGTTAGTTGGCACTCTAAAATCAGAGAGTTGCACAAACTGATCTAATTAATCTTGGGATTAAAAAACACTTTTCTCCTTCACATCAATGTTAGTTTGTTTTTTCAAGATACTTAAGCAATGTTTCCAATCATTTGAATCATGAAAAGCACCTTATCTTATCTCATTATCCTGCTTAGTAAATAGGGATCCCAATCATGGATTAGTTTGTAATCTCCGACGTGCCAGGTAGATTAATAACCCACTATGATAATCAAGCCCGGATTATAACCATCATGTTTCTTAAAAAGGCGGTACCCATCTGAAATATGATTTAGAACACTTTATTTTGGAGTGTAACCACCCAATTACAAAAAGTCATGGTCAGACTCTATTACAAGGTGGTGCCCCCCCGAGTTAGAAGTTGGTGCATAACCCCATTAATCACTAATTTATCTACCATTTTTATCCATAAAACCAAAGTTGATCGAGATATGTTCACCAACTTAGCGATTTGTTCACCATAGTTGGTTTATGATGTTTATGGATGAACCTAGTTATAAACCATAGTGAGTTAATGTCAACCCCGGATTAATAAATGTTTATTAATTAGGGGGTACTCCTCCAATAGTCATTTCATCCAATACTTTTTTATGGTACCCCCCAATTAAACAGCCGTTTGGGGTTTATTAATCCAGGGTTGACAGTACTGAGATTTGTGGGGATTCTATGGGGGTTTTATGGGGATTAATGGGATGATCCCCCCAAAAAAAGGGTTTTTCATATGGGGATCACCAAATATAATAGTTCACCTAGTTATCCGTGTTGGTTTCACCTGGCGATCGCCATCGAAGCCGCCCAGCAGATGGATCATCTGCCCCAGCGTGATGCAGGCGCAGCCGGCGCGGCTGAAACCGGTGGCGAAGGGCGGCAGCCACGTGTTGTCCTGACGAAACGGGGCGGCTCAAAACTGCGGATGGTTTGCTGGTTGGTGGTTGAGCCACCCCTCTGAAAAATATTAGTCAGATAGGATCATCATCCCAACTATTGGGAAAAATAAAAAATGTTCCAAACCACCAACCAATTTGGGATGGCGATGAGGATTCACATGAGTGATATAATGGAGATTCAGTAAATATTAAGGATTCCCAATATTTGTCACCATTAATGCATGATCTAAACGGGATTCATAGGAATTAGTGGATCTAATGCAAGGTGGTGTTTGTAACTGGAATAACTCGGGTTTATGGTGATCATAACGTAGTTTAAACATAGGCAAACAATTGGGAAGGAGTATTGTTTAAAGCCAACAAAAATGGGGGCCATCTTACCAGTCAACGTGGAGGTCCCATGCAAAAACACTGTTTTTTCGCAAAATAAAATGGGGCACAAAACCGGCAACACTTATATATACATATATATATATAGAGGTTCCGTAAACTGCAATCTTTAAGCCATATAACACTATGGCTTATTGAAACAGCAAAACATCGACATTGGTGGATACCCGCAGAAATCGCAGGACATTTCCATCACAAGAATGGTAGTAGTAGAAATTTGAGGCTTTTTGCGTTTGGCAATAAGATAAGCATTTGACTCAAGACACCTGGGTACCTGGGAGTGCAGTTGGGGTTAAACAAATGGGTATACCTTCACTAAAAATCTTCCCACAAGTTGGGATATCACATGATATAACACCAACTGGACTATTAAATGATGGTATAACGAACTAGCTAAATGTAAAACAATATTAATAATAACAATTAATAGCAAGTTATGACATATAACTATAGAAACTTAACTTGCTATTACATGCTATTACCAACTAAGTTAAATCTTTTTTCAATGCCCTGTGCCCTATGGGTCCAGAAAGGACCTGGAAGACCACTGGGTCTCCTCCAAGGAGAATCGGTCCACCACGGGCACGGTGAGGCCATTGCTGCCCAAACCACCCAAGACCTGGGCGCCAACGGCGTCGAGCTCGACTGGTTTATGGACCAAAGTTTATGGATGTAGATTGGTAGATATTTTACGAACTAGTTTTCATGGATGTTTATGGTGGGGTTTATAAACCAACATTCACATCACTTGGGGGCAGCATCGATACGGTTGGGTTGGTGGTGCCCCAAGTCTGGAATGGCTAAGTTGGTGAAGATAGGTGACTTCTCGAACTAGTTCACGGGATTGACACACCAACTTATAACTGGCACCACCTTGTATGCTGGCGGAAAATAATGGAAAATAACTAATAGAGGGAAGTTTCCGAAGTCATGGATTGAACATGGACACCTCCCCAAAGAAAGGTTGGATTTGGGATGATTTGGGCATGTTTTTGGCTTGTCTTTGGCTTCGTGCTTCAAGAGTCTTCAAGACTTACCTTTAGATTTTTAAAAATGAAAGCAGTTTTGACCTTGTCAGACTCTGGGTGAAACCGAAGAATTGTTAAAAAACCACTAGAACCCTGGGACTTATGGTAAGCAACTCCGTAAAAGAATCTCTTCTTCTTAGGTGGTCGCCTGACAGGGAGGTTGACTGAATGCCTCAAGGCCTTAGCCTTTGAGAGTACAAAACATTCTCAGTAGATTTCTCCTCTAGTGGCTTTACCAAAAACATGTTCAGCCAGCAAATCCAAGTTTGTCTGTCTATTTCAATTTCCTGAGCCAAATGAAAATTCCATCAGGGAGCCAAAAGCATTGACTATGAATGAAACAGGGCTTATATATCGCAATATTTTCATACAAAAGTTCCTTTTTCTAAAGGCGTAATATGGGGATACGCTCCAATCAACAACAAAACGCGCAAATCAGATCATCAAAGGGTAACTTGGACGAAAAACGACAACAAGGCGGTCTGCATTTTTGCCCAGCCGCATAGATCATGCTGCGGCCATTGCTTCGACAGACGGCCGCAGCAGCACCGGAGCGGGCCGAGGGCATTGGGGAAAGCCGGTCCCAGAGCAGTAACTGGAGATCCAAGATTTCGACCTACCGGAGTTCCCAGGTTGACACAGCTTGCGATTGGAGCATGGAACTGGGGAATCTACCCACAAATTTGGACCAGGGAATGAGAGGGACCTTCTCTACATATTTATACAATACATGTCAAGAACTTAACGCAATGTAACAAAAAACATATTAATAGATTCATTGTGACCAACTAACCAAAGGCTTCAGAAAATGGATGAACATGGAAGGTCATGGAAAGTGATCGAACAAGGCGATCGAACTGGTGCTTTCAACCAATTGTGCACCTGGATCAGGGTTGCTTCCAGCACCCCAAACACGGGGGAAAAGGGGTATCTCTCCTTCTGGGTATCATGGGGTGGGCAACCATTCTTGGTTGCTAAATCTCCATTCTTGCTGGCTAATCCCAATGTTTTTTTTGGTTAATTTCTGTTAATATCATTCGGAGTCATTCGGATTTTGCATTTTCCAACAACTGATATGGCCAAAAAGGCTGGCCTGTCATTGCATGAGGGATAGCTGGAGATGAGTCGTCACGACTTTGTACCCCTCAAAAATGGACAGTATGATGGGGGGCTCTTAGGATGGGGAACACCACACTACATACAAATCTGGTCCAATTTTTGGATAATTCAGGTGCACCCACCATTCTCGAAGACCCAACCCAAATCTAAATCAGTCATAATTAAAGCACACTGAAATGATCAAGATCCAGGATTCTGGAAGTTTTACATGTTGATCTGAACCTCCAGAAGGTTCCACCAGAAGGTTCTACCAGTTTTTGCGGGGCCTGGGTCATCTCAGCAACCTCTTTCCTCTAAAAACCACCAATTTCTTGTTTTCTTCCGAAGGATATTCTTTGATTCGGCTGGCGAAACCACCAAGGATCACCAGAATTTTTTGGAGCTCCAGTAAGCCGCTACTTCTGTGTTAAATGATGGGAGGATCACACAAATTTCTGGCACCATTTTTATGTAGCAAACCGATTTTTGTTTTTAAAGAACACCTCTATTGACTCTATTGGGGATGGTTTATGGCATTGGGTTACCCCATCGGTGGGTTTCACCAACCAGGAACCAGCGTTTTCCCCGGGTTCTCCTTATCCAAGACAGTGCCGTTGGCCAATTGCCCCGCCAGAACCACCACGGATTTCTGGGTGCCCACAGCACAGCAGCCGCAGCGTGGAGTGGGCATGGGTGGCAAGCGCCGCCACTTCCCTGGGGCGCTATAGTAAAACAATAACAATAAAAACAAACATGCTAATAATAATGCTAGTAATACTTTGTAATAAAAAGAGAATCACAGTGAAGTGAAAGAATCAAAATAGAATACTAGTAACTAATAGTATATAATCATGTTAATAATTGAAACAACAATCATAATGATAATAATAATGGTAATAACGATTCAAAAAACAATAACTAATTTAATAGTAATAAAAAACAATGATGTATATATACATATATATATATAGTATATTTACACGTCTTGCATAAATAACCATAATATATATATATACATCCATCTTCATCTACATGGTGCAGAAACATTGCATGTGGTTCTACAGACAAATCAACGCGGGATGTCTTAGATTCTTTGATCCCGGGGAACTTTCCGTTTTTTTCAGGGGAGGTGCACTGAAATTATATCGGAATATATCGTAATCACTTCAAGGAACGTCCAATGATATGGGTTGCATGATGCCGGTTTGTTCTAAACTCTGCGTTTGGATGATTCGAGCAAAGTGATGTGACATCGGCCTTGCAAGTCTTAGGTTTAGATGATGATTGTACATCCTTTCTAAAACGTCACCTCCTCCCCAAAATCTCTAAAATTCACGGTATCTGCAAGTGCCGGCACCCAAAGAACAAGAGAACCCTCGGGAAACAAACGCACACCTTTGGTTTTCTGCACCAAGTAGCATGTAAGTCACCATTCATTTAGCGGAAAAAGAAGGGACCCAACCTGCTCCAGCTGGTCATCCAAGATACTCATTTCAGGGTCGAAAGCTTCAACGACATCGAGCACTTGCCTTGCAAAAACCCGGCCAGTGCATAGGCAACACATCTTTTTGGCATTCTATAGATGCTATTTTCATTTCTCCTAATACACTTTGGCTGGTGGCGTGATAAGATGAATCAAAATGATTGATTGCTTGGCGAAGCATTTTCAACCCTCGGGATGATTTTTCGGAAAATCCCAACGGGAGCGAATTATTGCTTCACATCTGGTTTAATTGAAAGAAAAGAAGAAATTAAGTCAAACCCCGGTACAAATTGATAATCACCCCTTCACACAATAAAGTACGCCAACTCATTTGGGAGGCATTTTTGAAAGTTTAATGCATAATTACAGTACGTTACAGTACTTTTGCTAGACAGCTTTACCTGACTCCATGTCCAATGTCGCAAGAAAAGCGTTTGCCCGAAACTTTACTTGGCTGCGGAGTATGTTTGAGGGGGGCTTATCAATATGATGTGAGACATTATATAAATGCTGTTGGTCCCAAAATGATGTACACCCCAAACAAATATTCATCATGGATAACAGCTAAATCCAAAAAGATATGGATCCACCATTAATCCAACAGTTCAACCCTACCAATATGGCACCATGTTTGTGCCCAGAAACCAGGCCATGACCAAGCCACCGCAAACCACCAACTTCCTTGGAATTTCTTTCAGGATGCCATGATATGCCAGCAATATGCCATGATGCTGTCGCACAGTGCTGGCGAAAGAAACTGCGAAACTCATCTATGAATGTTGATATTGATAACATATGAAGGTTTTAAGGGAATTGATGGGAAGTTATGGGAATCTAAGCGGTACCCAGCCGTGTCATCAAACGGGTGAATGGAAAATCCCCAATTTAGTTCGATGATGTTCCCAGCGACAGAAACCTCCATTTCGTTCGGGGATTTTCCAGCCAGCCACGTTTGTTTGCATGAGGGTAGTAACTGGTGGGTGAGTTGGCCTGGTGGTTTGGAATCCTGCGAGCCGTCCCCTTTTTTGTGACCAGCTAACGACGGGAATCAAACGGGTCACCAGCTAATCATTGATCAAAGAATTGATGATATACAAAAAACTGAAACAAGAGCCCTTTCTGATGCCACAAGAAAAATGCATGGCCTCACTCCTCATATTCTTCGTGTGTTTCCAACTGGTGGTTTTCCCTGAGCAAAAGGAGTCGAAGTTTAGTCCAATGACTCACTATTTTGTCGTATATAATGTATATATTACCTACCTGTATGGTAGCTGACACATATGTTATGCTTCCCAGTGCCAAGTGATTCCACATGGTGGCTATTTTGCACGGTTAAATCGCAATTTCTTCGCACAGACTACACAACCATTAAACCATTAACCACCCATAAACCATTACACATCATTAACAAACATGATTTAATAATTAAAAACTGATCTCACCAAAATCAGTCCCAATTAGATTTACATAGCCATCACATAGAATTCCAACATCCATTACAAAGTTGTGTCCCATACTTGGCTAACTTGCTTTATGATAGGTTGCAGTAACCAAGATACATCTGTAGTTCTTGGGTTTTAAAACCAACTTGTACTGGGGGCACCAACTTGTAATAGATGTTAAAATATCCATACCATAATGGATCTTTGGTAGATATGAGTATCAATCCATTAATGCTCATAGGCATATTCATATTCATATCCAAGAGCAATGCAACATCCATTCATAGATATTTAACCCCTTCTGATGGATGTTAGATTTCTAACGGTATATTCTTTCCAATTCACATCAATTTACCATAAATAGTCCATCCAGCACCCATTAATCTAGCTCAATCATGATTATTCACTAACCTGAGCCGTTTGCTGTTATCATGTAGCCATTTGGTGATGATTCCCTATATATACATATCTGGGTAAATGAAAAAATAATTCACTCACCTGAAACTCGCGGCTATCTTGGGGATGATTCCCCGAATCCTAACCCAGTTTTTATAGGGCTCGGGAGAACAGGGTTCGGTCGTTATAATTTACCCACGATGGGTTCGGTCATGGAAACTTGATGGGAACTCATGGGAACTCCTGGGCGATATCAACAATCTAGTGGATATAGCTGGTGATAGCTGGTGCTGATTCCTAGTAGGCTTATCGACTGTACATAAATGTAAACTAGTTTGATATAACATGTTGTAGATACAGTAGCTGAGAATAAACAATAACAATATACATACATACATACATTACATTACATTACATTACATTACACTACATTACATTACATTACATTACATTACATACATACATACATACATACATACATGTATATATATATATATATATATGTATATTAGTATAGAGGGTGATATTACACCAGATATAAATAATTAAAATAAACAGTAAAATCTATTAGGATAATCGACTACCATCCCGGCTTTCTGACGAGGCAGGCGTCTTCTCCGCCACCGCGCAGGCCGCCCCCGCCCGCGCAGTGGGCATCGGCGGCAGCCGCGTCCAGTCGCCCGAGACCGGGTCGTAGCACTCGCAGGCCGCGAAGGCAGCGCGTTGGTCCTGGAAAGCAGCCGAAACGGCTGGGACATGGCTGGAAAAAGGCTAGGACATGATGGGAAAAAACCACCAAAAAAAGTTGGGAAACGGCATCACCAAAACTCACCGAAAAAAATAAAGGATTCAGCATGAGCTTGATTTCACCAGCCAAATGTGTGATGAAATTGAAATCTAACTCACAACAGAGATCAACCGCGGTGAGTTTCGCAGCAAAACCCCCCGCAAAGAAGATAAAAACGGGGAATTTACCAAGCCAAGACCAGCTTCAAAAATGTGCTGAACTGGCGATTTAATCCAGACACAACGCGGATTTTAACATTGTATTTGCTTTGTTCATCTTTTTTCTATTAAACATTGTGACTTAATCCACTAAAACGTTGATTTTCCCCAGAAGTCACGTTGCTTTTCACCCAGCCAGGGGCATCCTATCCCAAACCCATTGCCTTCTCACCTCCCACGACATAGATCTTGCCACCAAGGCCTTGGCTCAGTAGAAACCAGGGAACTTTGATTGCCCAAAATTGCCCAAAACCGTTTTTTCCCCTTTGTGGAAACCAAAAAATGGGATGCAATTAAATAAGAATTTGGAAACGGCCATAAAAAAGGGAAAGAATTCAAATCCATTTCTATCCCGTCGAACATATGAGCTGTTAGAATGAACTTCAAATATCTTCAAACCATGAGAGTCACCATCCTCCCGCAATTCAACATAGCTAAGGAACAAGGCCCACTGTTTGATGATTTACCTCTCAAAAATGGGGACATGTCCACAGTTAGCCTCCGATAATCAAAGGTGGCAATGGAAAATCCACCATGTATAGATGATTTTCAATTAAAACCTCCATTTCCCAGGTTTCCCATTGCCATGTTTTATTGCCATTTCGGGTATGTTAAATTACCAGAGGATTCAGGGGTATCATGGAAATCATGGGCAAATCAGCCCAGCTACAGTCATGGGGAATGTTCCATGGCACATTGTGAAAAAAAACGAAGGGACATGAAGCAGTACTATATCATAAGATCCCATCATATCACCATTTTTGTTGGTTGATTTCCCATGTTAGATCTTTAAATCCCTATTTATTATGGTCAAAACAATGAAAAGGGAATGAGATACCGACACAAAACGCCATTTTTTTTAAAGCCCGGCGGCTGGCGGTGCAACAGAAACTCCTGGCAGTTGGCATCGCTGGCAACACTTCCCACTGACCTTCTGCCTTGGTTCTGAGCATGGCCCAGCTTGCGAACCTCCAAAGGATGATGGAAAGGAAGTTGCGACCGACAAGTCATGACTGTAAGTGGATATAAGTAGCGCATTTGCAATGATAAATTAAATGTATGCACTGATCAATCAGAGGTTGTACTGCAGTTCCCACACTTTCACTGATTCCAAGGGCAGCACAACTTGGCATGATACAAGCCGAGTTGTTTGCAGTACTCTGTCTCACGCCTCACGCCTCATGAGTTTCAGTTGGCCACGTGATTTCCCTATTTTCTGATGGTCATGTGACCAAGTCTGCCTGGTTGTTATCATTGGGATAAACAACCATGTTTGAATATTCATGACGCACATGTTGAACACTTACCTACAGAATCTACAGACCACCGCGTGGTGCATGCTTCTGATGGCGGAATCGGCTGGGTCAACTGTTTCCCATCAGCTCTTCACTGAGATGGCGGATGCAACATGTTATCATCGTGTGCCCCATTGAATTTGTTATTAGGGATGCACACCTATATATATAGATATATCTAAATATCTATATATCTATATACAATATATATATATATATATATCTATATATATCTATATATCTATATGCATATACACACAAATATGTATAATATAAATATATATATATATCCCCCAAACCATCCAAGTTACGTGAACATATCGTTCCACCTGTGCCACTGTTTGTCGGTTGGCTTGGCCCCCGCAGATGTAGATCTCGGGCAAGGCCGCCTCTGTCGCGGAACGGGACAATCAAAATGGGATAACGTGGTAGATCCCAAATTTATGTGTATGTATATGTATATAGTTGTATATATGGAATATTTATCAACTTTTACCAACATTTACCCCATAAATGAACCAAATGTAGGTAAATATACTATCTGGTTGGTGGTATACCTACCCCTCTGAAAAAATATGAAAGTCAAATGGGATGATTTTTCCCAATATATGGAAAAAGAAAAAATGTTCCAAACCACCAACCAATATATATATATATATATCTATAGATTTGTGCACATGTCATAAATGGATATAAATGGGGGATTTAATGGGATTCAATGAGTGTAAAATGGGCTATAATTTAGGAATTCACCATCTATATCCAGCTATCATTGGGGTTTCTGATGATAATGGAGAAGTCATCCCAGTAACCAATTATGACTAGGTGCCTCAATTGACATCATCCCAGTGATTTCGACCGGGATGGTTCATCATTGGGTTTACCAAAAGTGTTAGATGTATTGATCCGCAGAAAGCTGATGAACAATGGACTTCTCCGACTGGTCACTAGAGCCTGCCGATGTCAAATTGGAACCTGTTTGATCTCAAGAGCCACAGTCAGTTTGGGATATGCCTGCAGCATTGAATAAAGCCATGCCCATCTGATGCACACCCTCTATGTGTCTGGCACTGGAACATAACTCCACTTCTTGGCATCTGACCCCACCAAACATGCAACTCCTCCTTGCCAAAGGGTCATGGACAAAGATAAACTGGATGTCATATGCACAACGTATGGAACCGATCTTACCATAAAACTCGTATATAATTTCACCAAAGACACAACTTTAACTTACTGCAATTCACTTCATCATTGGTACTAATTCGCATCAACAGCTAAATACCTATCTGGTGACTGGGAACTCTTAGTAGCTCCTTTGCTCCTCATTTATGTAGTGCCCATGGCTCCTTATTTCCCTCTTAACCACTGGATCGTTTTGGATTGATAAATTCAGCTGGTTAAAACTGCCTTTGTTTCACTAGTTTTGAAGCTGTAAACCCACAATTTTGCCAGTTTAAACTTGGTGAACTTCTCCAGAAAGCAACACTTCTGATCGTTTTTGATGCTTAAGTTGCACCCAAGTCTGCAGGTGATCCATTTCACGGTACCAGATGTTTCACCATGTTTCACAAATACGCCTGCCGCAGCAGCAGCATGGAGCTTCGCAGATGTTGCCCGTGCTTCGTGGAGCTCTGCGCGAGGCTTTGGGCACCGAACAAGCCACTGAAGCGAGCGATCTCACAGGCGACCTGCCACGAGGCCCCGTTGTGAGGTCAGTCATGGGGATTTCAGCAACATAAAACCACAAGAAGTTGAGATTGAATGGGATTTATATGGATTGATGATTTTTGATAGCTAAATTGATGCACATAACTTGGTGAACTTGGGTTTGTGGGATGTGCCAACTATATAGAGTTCATGGGTTTAAAAGCCTTTGGAAATATCATTTGGGGGGGCTCACCTTGATTTGGAGAGGTCACAAGCTGGTGCCTTGTTCTTCGTTAGCCAAGTTGGTTTAATTTGTTGTTGTTTTTATTACTACGGTTTATGGAAACAGTTGGTGAAGACTATTTATATATGTATGTATACGTGATTGTACGTGTGTGTGTAATGATATAACTATGGCAACTATGTTTGCAGTTCTACTTAAGCTTGAATTTGCTATGGCAATGAGGAACTGAGTTTTCAGGATGAGCATCTCAGTCACTTTTTTCCGTGTTATCAAACATGGCAACTGAAACTGTCCGAACTGTATATGGGAAAATCATCCACATATAATGAAACATCATTATAATATATGTATTTATGGATTTTCCCCATGATGTATATGGATGTATATATTTATGTATATGGTTTAATGATGTTTCATGGGAAAATCATCGAACTAGCCATGGGCTGGTCTTCCAGCCATGTTTTGGCTGACACCAGGGTCACCAGGTCCCCGCAACTGCTGGAGACCAGTTCCAGACTTGTGGATGTGACCATGGCAGGAAACAAACCATGGGTTTTTATGGGCTGAGGCGGTTTTCCTCCAAAATTCAAAGTCCACAGCCAACAGAAATGGCTAATGTTTTCTGGTTGAAATTGGGAATTTCGCTATACTACAAATGGCGAGTTAATCAACTTGATCGATCAAAAATAATTTTGGGATTTGATCTGCGGAAAAAATATCCAAGAAACGGGTTTCACTATTAAAACTAGGTGATTCAATGACGAAAAATGATGGTGAGGGGATGTGAGGGGCGTAGTTCTACCCTCCAAACATGGTGATTAAAGATGATTCAGCAACAAAAACTAGCAACCATGGTGTGTTTTATCACGAGCAATGGTGAGGGTTCACCATGGAGGTCATGAAATGTGATGGTGAGGGATGTTGGACATCTGCATCTTGCCTCGAACCATTGTTCTCGGCTGTGTTCAACCATTTCAATATAATTATATACAGTGTACACCGATATATGAATCAGTCCATGTATATCACATATAGAAATCCATGCAAATCAATAATGCCATTTCTATGTCCACCACATTTCCATTCTTCCCCTTCTTTTTTTGGACCAACTTCACCCCTGATCTCCGACTTCGCCTGCGGCCGACCAAGCACCGAGAGAAGCAACTGGCTCAGCCGCTCAGCGCGCTGTTGGCGTCGAGCCTCCGCCTTGGCCATTTCCTGAAGCCGTGGCGGCAACGCCATGGTGACGAAGACCTAAGAAAAATGAACAATGTTAATGGTGGTATGGATACCATTCCCAAATAGGTGGTATGGTTACCATTCCCAAAATGCTGGTTTATATTGGTTTATGACCATGGTAAAGCAATGCCATAAACCAATCTAAACCACCCATGACTGGGAATGGTAACCGGACCATACCACCTATTTATGGTGTTTTTTTGCCCACACTAATAGTGGTTAACCATCATTGGTTATTACGAATGAACAAATTGATAGTGGTTAGCCATTCATTCGAAGTTAACCATCATTGATAAAGAATAACTGATAAAGAATAAATAATGAGTGGCTAATAATGGCGAACAATGGTGGATCATAATCGTTCTGTAAATATACTAGGTACTGTATATGATATATGAAATACTGGTTCATGATGGTTACCCTCTGGTATTTTAACAGTTTGCTGTTGTTTTTGCCATAAACATTGTGATTTTCCATATGCAAGTTATTTTGCCAAAGAGATTCAAAGAGTAATGACATATTAGTCCATGATGATTTGGCTAATCAAACAGGGAGGTAGAAATGCCCTGTTTAAAAATGGGGCTATTCGGACAGAACTCACCAAGACGGTGGATTTTTGGACGTGTTCCTGAAAATGGTGGAGAAATAATCCACCAAATAGCCCTATTTTCATAGGGAAAATCAATGGGAAATCAATGATTCATCGCTGGAAATCAGGGGGTGCCCGATATTTTGCCCATGGAGTACTGGGGTACGATAGATATGGGATGATTTTTTGAATGTGCCGGCGCCGGGTCTAATCCATCCCGGACCTGCGTCTGGCTCAGGCATAGTGACATGATATCTTGTGCCAAGGTGATCTCCATGGCGACCCATGTCAAATCGCGCAGCGAAACAGAATGCGGCCGGCGGCTGCGACAGCTGCCAAAAGATACCTGGTAGTGATGTAGTTGCTAAGTTGCTATGAACACATGTTTTGTCAAAGTCACTCCTCTATTGCTCCAGGCGTTCACCCAATAATATCAATAATTAGAGATCCAGGTGATGGAGATCATGCAAATTTATGAAAAAACATGGTGGATTCTTAGAGGAGATCCTGCAAGTTGATGCGGGCAAATCCTATGGATCCAAGGTGAACTTCGCTTCAAGTTGGCTAGCACATGCAGCATGAACCCTCGAGAAATGTCAGGGATCTCTGATATACCCAGCAAGAGATACATGGTCTTGTCAATCCCTAGATCTTATAACTTATGCAACAAATATTCTGGTTGGTGGTATACTTACCCCTCTGAAAAAAATGAAAGTCCATGGGAGGGATTATCCCATATATGAAATGGAAAATAACATACATGTTCCAAACCACCAACCAATATTTCTGTGCCAAAACCATGAGTTGACAAATGGCTGCAAGGCTGCACAGCAGTTCATCTGAAATTTCGGGATGAGACCGATTGGGTCGAATCTTCTTTTTTGTACATCCATCAAAAGTCCATCAAAACACGGAAATGCAACAAAACCTAAAAATAAAGGCACATCTTATCTTCATCATCATAAATATTATGATATTCATCATCATAATCATCATGATCTCATATCTGATTCTTCTTCGTCTTCTCATTCTGCAAATGTGCTTGTCCCCAGCTTCTCACATCCCATTTTTCCCAATCTGCCCGGCAGTTTTCCACACCGCGCATAGAAACAGCGCGCTTGTCCCACGACGGATCAGCGATCTGAGATTTCACCTGGGTGAGCCACCCATCCCAGATATCTAATGTTCATATGGAGTGGGCTGAAGCAAAAACTGGATTTTTAACCTATAAAATTCCTATTTGAATCAACTTGGCTATGGCTCAGAATATGTCAAGAGTGTTCACCCCTCAAAGCGGATGGTCTGATGGTTTCAGATCCGGAACAAAGCATGTGTTTATCCCTGTTTTGTGGGGTCGTTCCCATATCCATTCTGAGACCCACAACCATTTGAAGTTCTGCCGGGCACCATTTCGTTGATGTCGTTGGAGGCCACTTCTTAGGCGCGGCGGGTTCGCGCCCGCTGCAGCTGGGGCGTCACAGTTCATCCAGGGTGGTTTCAGAGGGAAAGGGCGGAGCTTTCACATCCTGGCGGGAAAAGATCACAGCACTCCTGGGAATTCCTTCTTTATACACTCCGCGTCCAATTTTTCAGATTTGTTCGATTAACAAAGTAAAAAACATATCACCATAAGAGGGAGTCTGGATGTAACTTTTCAATTGGAAAATTGCTTGAACCTCAAGTGCTCTGAGATAAGAAGGGAATACCCCGCTGTGATTTTCAGGGTCCTTGGGCTCTTTAGCTGTTGATTGATATGGTAGACATGCCAAAAATTGTCACACTTTTTTCTTTTAAGTCTCATAAATCCATTCTCTGCGGTGAACGTCATGAAGCAGCAAACATGGAGATACGTGGATATATATATATTACCTCAGTGAAACTCACACCGAAGCGGGGATTCCACGGTGTATACTCTAAATTTATCTAAAACAATCCCGGTCAAATGACCTAATTTAAAATGGTTGAGGCCAACCTCCATCAAGAACTCATCTATGGATATGAATTTCCACTATAATACCTCCATTATACAACTATGTTTATTGGTAGAGTCACCATTTCTGATGTTTAAATCATGTCGAATCCAGATTCTCTTGATTTTCTTGGTTGTATACATCCTCATTACGACCATCATAAAACCATTACAGTATATGACCAGTATACAGCCATTATATAGCCACCATACAGCTATTCTAGAACCATTATATAACCATGATACAATCGTTACATAAGTATACAACCCTTTTTATAGCCATTATATAACATTATATTACCGCATTCTGATAGCCATTAAATATAATTGTATGCATATATATAATTATATGCATATATATAATTATATGCATATATATATAATTAATTATATATATATATATTATATATATTATATATATTATGTGATATTATATGCAAATATAAATATATTATATTCTATGTATATATATATATATAACTATGATGTAGCTATTCTACAACCACCGGTGTTCGTGCGATTTTCGCCCCGTGCCATCGACGACCTCTGCCGCAAAGTCCACTAACTCTTCGAAGGTCGAGGCCTCGTCCGCTACGGCGACGCCAGCACCGGGTCCTTAAGGCGCCGCCGGGGAGGGCCCCCAACATGAAAAAAGGCAACCAACAATATCAGAAACGTGGATTTCATAGGATTTAATAGGGATTTAATAGAAAGGCCACCAACCTGCTTCAAATGATTTCAGAAACCAGTGAATCATCTGGTTTGGTGCATTGTAACAATATCATCTTGACCCTCAATCATTCAACTATAGATCATTTTGTGGCAAATTATTGGTTTGCCATATTTGTTTCTGTCAATTTGCTGGATATCATATTTTTGTCATATCCGATGTCATACATATGACATGGTTTGCTAAAATCAACCCCGCACTTCAAGAATTCCTTTTGTTTACTGGTGGATTTCACCATTTCGATGGATATAGATCCCAGTAACACTCAAGTCTGTCCTATTTATTCTGCTGGTGAAATGCCACTACTTCTGTTCAAGCCATTCCCGAGCTGTTTGTATGTTTACTGGAAGGTAATCACCGTACATTGCTGGTTTAATCTGCTTTCTTTTTATGGAATGGTAAACCCATGAACCCAAAATCGTGAATTTTATTGCTTAAATGCTTAAATCAGCTTTTTTTGGTGAAGCAAAAGCCAAAAATCATCATGTTTATTGCTTAAATTCTTGCTAAATCATCTTAAATCAGCATTTCTGTTGGTTAAATCATGTTAGATCCCTTTTTTTTGCCCAGTAAATCCAGCCATTTTCCATCCACATCCGCATCTGCTTCGAAGGGCTCAGCAGGCGGCTGGTGCCAGCACCTCAACCTCCATCGCTTCGGCGTCGACTTTCACGAAGTCCAAGTGACTGAGGGACAGTTCGTCCTTTAGGTTCTGCACTTTGGCAAAGCCCCAAATTGCAAGTATCATCGCAGAAATGGCATAACTCACATATAGTGAATGAAGTCACTGCAGGCTTTTGATCATGCATTTCTGATGCTTCAGGATGACTTGACATAACTGAATGAAAGGTCTGGACGTTGAATCGATGGTTCAACAATGAGATTAGCTATCTCAGCTGTGGATCAAGCTGACCATAACATCGAAAAAACTGAACAAATGTTCACCAATTCACCAGCTTTTGGCAAGTCACATTCCCATGTTTTCTAATCTTTCCCCATACCCATGGACAACACCATGATCTCTGTGGAAATGGCACCCGGAAACTCGGCCGGGGAAAGCCCAAAGGTTCCAGAATGAATGGAATGTTTGCAGGAACCTCACATGAGGTTTTTTTTCCATCAGAACATTTTTTCTTTGAATAAACACGATGTTTGATATTTTCAGAACTTCTTCCAATTGTCTTTGATATAGTTTTTTTTTGTTATGTGTTCCTGATATAAAGCAACCCACCAAGAACAGCATGAACCAGCAAGTTTCAAGCGATTGAAGGCATTGGATGGTTTCATGACAAGATGAGATGATTTCAGGGGTGGATCAAACTGTTGATCAGTTTATGAAAGGCAGGGTTTCAAAGGTCATATGGTATCCAGAAACTTTGGAATCTGGATTTCTGATCGGTGCTCCTAGAACAACTTCCGACACAAATTTACATAATCTACTGATTCGCACGCCCCCGGGCATGCCAACATCCATTGCAATCAACCCATGATGCTCCACACAAAAGAGAATTCAATTTCAACAAGCAAGATGGATGGAATTTGATTGATGGAATTTGGGAATTCCAACCCATCCAACATGAAAATCAAATCAAATTCCATTGATGGTTTGAACATGCTTCAAACAATTGAAGTCCCTCTCGACCAGTTGGCCATGTGGCACGATCGCAAGGACGAGCAGTGCTTGCTGCAGTGCGATTGCAAACGCTGGTCATTTCCCAAGCGCTCCTGGTCACTGCCCGACATGTCAGGTACATGAGTTGTTACATAGCGATGGGAGACAGCCTTTTATAGCTGATTTGCATATCATAGCTATATTAAATTAATAAAGGAGTCCCTAAAATACCAGCCATTTTTGAGGCTGGGTGAGGAACATCGGCCGGTTTCAATGATTCACCAGCAATCTCGATCAAACCTGATTGTAGGAAATCTGCAATTTCACGGGTCATATGGTATTAATTATAAAACACACAAATGGTTGTATTCAAAACTTATGTGGTTATGTTGTTTTACTATAAGGGTTCTATAATGACATAATAGTTTTCTTTCATTTTCTTTCTGCATGGAGGATTTTCGTCGCCATGTCTACGTCTACGTCGTCTACGTACTGGTGGAAATCATGGGTGAACTGAATGGACATCTTCCAAATGGAACCGCAGAATATGTCAGATTCCTCAGGTTTGAAGGAGGTACTGGGCCCAACATAAACCTGATTGTAACATTATGCAAGCCTCTTAGATTTGGGAGATTTGAAGAATTTTTCACAATTATCCCTACTCCCCAAGAAGGGAACCGTGCCCAGTTTCCTCCTAAGATCTGAAACTGCTATGGCACCGTGGCCCCTTGCCGCAGAGATGCTCAGGGATAGCAACCATGGAGATCGCCACAGCATGGCTGAATTTCGGCATGAATGCCTCATGAAATTATCCTAAAGGTGATCATTTCAACTATACCAGGCCTCCTCTATGCCAATGGAAAACATGGGTTTCATCCCAAATCTTGAAAAATAGTGGGAATTCTCGTGTTTTTTTGGACCAGAAGGGGCCCTGAAGCGAAGCAAATACACCAGTCACTTCAACAGTTTAAAATCAACCGATCATACCGCAGGTCTTTTCACCCCTTTCACCTCGAGCCATAATCCGAAGAGGGTGGATCTTTTGCACCAAACGGGAAGTGACGCTAGCCACTGACTTGCCAGAGGCGAAAAATACAAACACGATGTATCATAGATTTGTTTGATAGATGTTGAGGGGAATACCTATAGAAGAACACACAAGACAACTTCAAACGAACTGCGCACCAAAAAAGCATCAAAATAAACTGCACGCCGAACATGCGGTTCCCTCCGCTTAGTACTATCTTGATTTATTTTTGGCCTGCCACTTGTTAGGGGTTCTTATTCTCAACTGGCACTGATCTCCATTTAATCTAATTAATCACTAGGAGCATCTTAAAGCCCGCATTTTCAGCCAGGGCCAGGATACAGCTTTCGAACCTGCCTGAAAACCACCTGGACCCTAGTGTCAATTTCGAAGTGTGCCTCCCCTCAAATTGAAGAAATTGGAAATGACATCGGTGCAACAATCTGGCTGAACTCAACTAACCACCTTGTAAGACTGTAAGACAATTAAAAGTCGCAAAATGGAAAACAAATGTATTCCCCAAATCAAAGTCGCTACCCCAAATCAACCATTGCTTTTTTAGGAAGACCTGTTTTTCATCCATATCTTGGGATGTTCCATGCATGATAGGCTACCAAGCCAGTGAGGTGCTCTCCGAAGTATGACAAACAAAAATCACCAAGCAGCAAACTCTGCGGTGGTTATATATATATATATATATGTACACATATATATATATATATACACAGATGTATTATATATATGTAATATATGTACATAGATGTATTATATATATATATGTAAAATGTAAATCAACCTATAGCACTTAGCACACACATACATTTATACACATGCATTGATGTCCCTTTTGATCACTGTTTCTTGAACATGTACTTGGATTTGCTTAACATGCCAACTGCCCCCCCCAAAAAAACTCTATATAGATTCCCCAACTTGTGGATTTCCATCTGGAAAATACAAGGTGGTGCCCCCCACTTCTGTTTGTTGGTAAACCCCATTAAACCCCATTAACTATATATAGATATATCTACCATAAACCACAATTAACCTATAGTTATGCTCACCAACTTAGCCATTCGAAACTTGGGCACCACCTTGGCACCAGCTTACCTTCAAACTGTTGGCGCCTTACTCTCAAAGCTCACCAAGGTGACATCAAAAATCAGTGTCGCGTTGGGCGGAATCTTCGGTTCCAACTGAGCTGCGGAATCAGGGTGCAGCTGGATTTGGGGAATATTCCCGGTCAACATCCCACAAAAGTAACCTTAAAATATGATGGAAAAACTTACTGTTTCGCTATGTTTCGCTGGTTAGTCTGGCAAATGAACAAGTTATACATATATATGTATATATGTGTATATAGCTACATACTTCGAAACTTAGGCTTTCCCCCACAATTTGATGGTTTTGAGGAAACCTAAAGTTCCTTCAGCGTCCCTCGAATCCTGACCAACATCCTTTGGCAAAACGTTGGTCATTCGTACGTTAAGAAAAAGGATATCCATATCCCATTGCTATTTCAACCCAATATCACATACTTGGAACAATCTATGTTTGACTTACTGATGAATTAATTAGTAGAATTGGCTATGTCAAACACATTGGATCATACTTTCACAGCAGTTTCCTAGTTCAATGGATTAGGATTCATATAAGATACATTTTTCTATACCCATTTTGTTTGCTTTTGAAACATGTAAAAACCGTGGTAAAAACCAATGGGTTTCGACCGTGGAAAAAAAAACAAAAAGACCGGCTGAGAACCCCAGCGCCCTGGGAGCCGTAGGCCATCTCTGGAGCGATGGTGAACCTGGCCTCCTGCGCCGTACGGGGCGTGATGTGTGTATATTTAAAAAATATGTATTACACACATATATATATGTATGTATGTATGTATGTATGTATGTATGTATGTATATGTATATGTATGTATGTATGTATGTATGTATATGTACATGTATATGTGTATGTATTATAACATATATATATATGTATTATATATATATATATATATATGTATCATATATATTTTATATGTATATATATATATATGTAAATAAATGTATGGAGTTTTCTAAAAATGGGAGTGCTGTACTCCAAAATGGATGCTTTATAATGGAGCATCCTTTTATATAAAATGGATGATTTGGTGGCACCATCATTTTAGGACATCTTCATATAGTCAACTTTTTTTTGAAAAAACAAGCTCACAAGAAAGCCTCTATAGAAGTGCTCTGAATACATAAAGATGTATACACATATATATATATATAAATTATGATATATATTATTAAATATGTTTTTTATATTATAAATAATATATTATCTATTGGATATTATAAATTATATATAAAATATTATATATATTATATATAATATATAATATATTAGATATTATATTATATTATATATATTATATATTATATATATTATATATTATATAAAATATGTATATTATATATATTATATATATTATATTATATCTTAAATATTATATACTACACATATTTTTTTATATTATATATATTAAATACTTTTTTTTAAATGAATAATAAATTATTTAATATATTATACATTAAATATTATTTAATATATTATATATAAAAATAAAATACATTAAATATGATATATTATAATATATATATATGGATATTATATGGAAAGACATGGTTTCCACTGGTTTCCTTTTTCAACCTCATGACGTAGAGGTTTCCAACTTATCAACTCATCTCTGGCTTGCTATATCGCCAGGATGGGTACATCCATTACCCACGAAATCAGAATTACACCAACCAACAGCAGGTATCTTGCTGGCAAAGACATGTAAGTTTCCCGACCAAAATAGGGATGTAACATGATGTAACCAACTATATAAGGATGCATCGAACATATCAAACTACAAACTACCTGTAGCTTGGGTTGCCTGGGAGTTGAAACAAGATATGGGTTCCAAAACAGGGCGGGGGGGCCTCGATTGACCATCCCCCAAATGTCCAACACCCCCAGTGTATGGTCCCAAATATGTTTAATCCATTATTAAACCATGGTGTCTGGGGGTGGGGATGGGACGTTTTTCCCAACTCTTTAAACAACCACCAGCACAGTGGATCTGATACAACCCGTACAACCTTTCAGTCAGGGAAGGATATGGATATCGTAACACTGTGTGGAAGCTCTACAACGGGCTCAAAAATATCTATGAATGGTCTGCTGCATATGACCAGCTCGATGTGGGCCCATTGGCACTGGAAGAACTGGAAGAGCCATGCCCAGTCTTGGGCTTGGGGGTTCAGCGAGTCAGTGAATGAAGTCGATCCAAAGTTCAAGATAGTTTTAAAAAAGTGGGACCCAAGATGTCAACTTATGGAGGCAAACAAGTTAAATCCTATAGTTCTACCCATAAACAAAACCCCAACCGCACCCCCAAAGACAATCACTTCGCCACGGCTGCCATGATCCCTCCAATGTGGAATCGCGTGGCAAGGAATGGAATTCTTTCCCTTTCTGGACCCTATCATGGTGCCATTAGCCAAAAGTTGGTTTATACATCTGTAACTATGGATATATCTACCAGATACCTTAAATACCTTACTGATATGAGTTGATATATATATATATATATGATCCACTCTCACAGCGCCAGCATAGCCATTTCTTTTCATGCAAGCACTCAACGAGAATGGTTTCAAGGTTGAATCGGTGATACTGCCGCTGAATGTTGCACACAAAGAACTTTGCTGAATGTGTGCTACTGCGCTCCCCAGGTTCAACACCACGAGTGGCGGTGGAGGGGAGGAGGTGGTTGAGCTTGAAATGATGCCAACGGCGTCATGTTATCTTTCCATCATTCCCCAGTAAACATAGTCCATGATCCACTCCCACAGCGCCAGCATAGCCATTTCTTTTCATGCAAGCACTCAACGAGAATGGTTTCAAGGTTGAATCGGTGATACTGCCGCTGAATGTTGCACACAAAGAACTTTGCTGAATGTGTGCTACTGCGCTCCCCAACCCACTGTCACTAGTGTTCTGTCAAGATGGTGGCAATTTGATGACACAACAGCCATGGATAGGGTTGAGCCCTGCGGGTCATCCATTGACCTCCTGAGTCTTTGCCGACCAGGACAATGTGTTTTCGGTTGGTAAAAGCGCAGCGACCACAAACGGTGTGACATTCACATGCTAAGTCCTTTAGAGAGAAAGGCCCACCAAATAAAATTCCAGTGGCTTTTCTCCATGGCATTTGAAAAGCACTGAAATCAACACGAATCATTGTGAATCTTCGAATCCAGTCGGCCAGTTGAGGGGTCAACCAAATACGACTAGTCCATGGGTTCTCAACAGCCCAGCAAATGTTGAGAGCCACGCATGTAGATATGATGCGCTCGGTGACTGCGAGGAGCAAATTGCCCTCATTAACTTTGTCTGCATCTGACTTGGAGAGATCGGCAAATCCAAAAAGATTGTCTGCATCGTCTCTGAGCGGTCTGGGTCCGCCATCATTCTTTCGTGCACGGCTCCATGTTGTGCAGGGTGTACCAAGCCAAACCAAGACTATGTCATGTGATTTTTTGTGAAGAAAGCGCAAGATCTTGTTCAAAACCTTGGGGTTCAAGACATCACAAGCAATACCATAGTCAATATCATATGCTATAGAGATAAGGCCAGCCGATGCGCATGCTTGAGAAAGCCTTGCACATCCACTGAAGATCTCCAGAACATATCTAGGTCCAGCTGAGGTGGTCTGGTTCACAGGCCGAAAAATTTTGGGCCCGCCTTCACTATCTCCTGCTCCGCAAGTTGCGCCTTGTTCTGAACATGTTTCGGAAGATCGTTGAACTCTTGGTTCAGTCTGGCATGTGCTTCGTATCTTCGGACCGTTGAGTCGGCGGCCCATCGTCCGCGTTGTTTCACTTCTGTCAGAGGTCTCAACTTGAAGAAGCGATCGTGTGAGGGACCTGAGTGCCTTAGTTGATATAGCACCGCATGGTCCTTGGCCAGTCCCAAGGCTTTGAGAGCGCCCTGCCACGCTTGGACCAAGTCGTAGTAGGTCAAGCTCAGGAGAAAGTTGTTTGGGGTCTGCAGCCTGTTCAGAGCTGGGCCCAACCATGGAAGCAGCGGCGAATCCAGGAGGATGCTTTCGTCTGCCAAGCCCACCTTGGATCTTTCTTGCCGCTCTGCAGGATGCAGTAGCAAAGACCAGTGCTCCTGTCTTGCCATCGGCGCCACCAGGTCTGTTTTTCTGAGGTCCAACACTTCTCCTGGTCGGAGATATGCTGTGAAGCTGAGGAGGATTGCTGCTGCCGCATGCAATTGATGGCGTTTCATCATGTGCATAGTCATGGCTGCAACCAAGGCCCAAGGCAGAGGCGGTCTGGTTCGTTGAGGCTCCAACTTCAGCCACCCTTGAAGGGACCGTCTGGTCCGGGCTAGAATGTGCTTGGGGCCACAGCCTGGGAACGTGTCGCACACGGCTGCGAGGAACTTTGTGCCTTCTGCCAGTTCGAAGCCTTGATCGAACATGTAATTCATGAAGCAGTTGCAGGCCTCGTCTAACTTCTGTGTGTTCTTTCTCAAGCTGACCTGGGGCATCTTCTTCATCCTCAGGAACTGAAAGAAGCTCTGCATTCTTCGGTGGTAGTCTTCGGCCACCGGCTGTGAAACAGCCATAGTCTCCAGAAAAGTCTGATTTTGGAAACGTTTCGGTCGCTGACACTGTTGTTTCAGCTGCTGTCTCATGGTCTTCTTTTCTTCGCGGGTCATGTTGAGCGACTTCTTGGGCATGTCTCTTGTCATACGTTTGTTGTGGGGAGCATCTGGATCGGCCATCAGCAGGCCTTGCACTAACTGGACCTGCGGCTTCCTCTTTCTGGAAGGCGCTTCCGCCAGCAGCATGTCTCAGGTGCTCCCACTGTCTGGAAGCTGAGTCAGCGACGTTTCGTTCACTAGGCACCCATCTCACTTGCAATGCACTGTCCGTTGCAAGTAACAAACATGCCAAACGTCTACAAACCCTGAGCATACCAAAAGTGCCAGACCTACCCTTTGAGCAGAGTAAAACCACACTCATATTGTCTGTAAAGTGCAAATGTTTCATGCCAAACTGCTGTGTTGCCCGAAACTTGTGCCTAAGTGCAGCCACCACCCCTCTGCCTTCCAAAAGAGTGATGTGCTCAGCATGTTGCATATGGATAGCAAAACACTCGGCCCACTGATCTTTTTGCATAACATCTTCTTCTATGTCAGGAAAATCAAAGTTGAGCTCATAGGGATCACTACGCTTCACTGCCAAAGGCTTGACCGTGCTGGGATCACTAAAAGGGTCACCAGTTTCAACCAAAACTTCGCGAGGTCTCACCGGATTTCCACTGACATAACGCCAAGTTTCCCTAACACGGCCATGCCTCGCATCCTCTCTCACTGGAAGTCGCGTGAGCACACGGCCACACCTGACAGGGAAGCATCTGAAGTGGTCACCATAGAACTCCACGGTCTCTTTAAACTTACACTGCACAATTTAAAAAGATGCTGAGCCCAGTTTGCCTCTCTTGTCGCCGAAGCCCAAAGTCGCTGTCGTTTGTTGTAAGACCTAGCTACAAAATCATATAAAGATCGAAATATAGATAGGAGTTCTCGTCGCAACATAGCAAAATGAACTGCATGTCCCAACAGCCGTTCAACCGCCTTGCCATTGACGCGAGGACGCGTAGCCAACCATCCAAACACCTGCAAGACTTTTGTCCAACGATCTGGAATGGGTGTTATGCAAAGTTGTTCTCCATCTATCAAAAAACCAAGAGATTGTGCTAGGGTAGTGGCCTCTGTCTCTTCATGGACTCGGAAGCCATGATGTCGTAGCCTGGCAACGATTTCTTCCTTGACTTGCTGAACTCGCTGCTGGTCCGTTCCAGCTACATTCAAGTTATCTGCATAGGGTATCAATACAACCTCGCCTTCAGAAAGGTCTGGAGCCGGTCTCCCCTCCACCAAGAGTCGAGAGGTGTCCAGCGACGAAGCCTCCAGGCAAACATTCTGGTGCACTCTTTGTGCAATGTACATGGCCCAAGACCATCCCATGGGAATGACCCGACATCTCGGCCATACCCACCCTGAACTATCCACCAAACCATCCCCTGGCATTGCAATACCCCAGTCCCGCAAATACTGCATGGAAATAGGAAGGAGGCAAAAAAGATGTTGAAGATCAGGAGGTAGTTCAAGGGAAAAGAAATAATCTCGTATGTCTGACTGAGCCACATACAAATGCTCGCCTGAAGGCACTTCCAGTTGTGACCACGTTGAGCCTGCCGCCAAAGCAAGCGGAGGTGGATCTCTGAATCTCTTGTTGACGCCCCTGCAATCAAGAATGAAACGCAAACGCCCGCTCTTCTTCACCACAAAAAACGGGGTGACTAGATCACCAGGCCTCAAGGTAAAATCTAACATGCCCTTGTCCACCAAATCTTTGATGAACACGGCATAGAGTGCCGAATCGGCCTGGAGCCGCGGGTCCATGTATGGCTGGAAGGTTTCATCATGCTCAACCATCTCCCCCCACTCCTCACTGTCTCGCAGCATAAAAGCTAGGGGATCCTTGACAAGTTCTCGACCTCGATCATCCATCACCTGAGAGAGCGGAATGGGTTGATCGCCACAATCAGGGAGGGATACCAGGTCTCGGTCATAGGGTCGGACCGTATTCGAGGTTTCTTCACCATCATAGGTGGAATTGGTTCGCAGAAGCTCTTGGACAGCCTCTTGCACTGTACATGGTGATGTCGGAGATTTGAAACGACCTAGTTGCTTGTAAATACTATGCTGACTATCACGTTGCGCTAGAGTAACCGAAACCAGATGGTCTCCACTTATCTGTGCACAATACATATCATTGAGACAGTCAACTATTGAATTAGCCTGCTCCGCCTTCTTCTGCACCTTGATGCTCCGTCTCTTTGAAGAAACTGAGGAGCCTCGCCGCACATCACAGGGGGGCAAAGGTGGTAGTGGAAAAAGGTCACGCCAGCGACCAATTGAATCATCTTGGACCTGGCCTCCTTCCACAAAATTGCGGGCCCCAACATGGTGCCCATCCGCAGCTCGATCACCACGGCAGCTGGACTGAGCTGCAAAGCCCAGCTGCTGTCCACCACTCATTTTTGATCACCGCCGCCTCCACCCTGAGCACCTTTCCCAGGGTTTTTGCGGCGCATGGATTGCTCTTCACGAGCCTTTCGTGCCTCCTTCGCAATGGCTGCCTCATCCTTAAGAGCCTGAGCCACATGTGATGCCAGCTGCATGTCGACGCCCTGTGCTGAACGTCGCCACTTCCAGCCCATGAAGTGATCTGCTGATGAGTAATCTGGGGAACTCGGAGAGATGCGATGAGCTTCTCTGATCACTTGAAGTCGACGGCAGATCAACTCGGCACCCTGCAGGGCACAGATGTTGAGCTGGTCCACAGTGATCAAAGACTCCAAGATTCGACCCAAACATTCATGCTCATATGTGCTTCGGTCTCCTTTCGGAATCTCGGCAGACCTCAACCAGTACTCGTGAAAGGTGGTGGGGGTCAGGTTCTGATCTCGCATGCTCTTGACCAAATTGAGTGATGAGGTGGGACCATCCAATTGAAGGCCTCCACCCTGAGGCACTCCATCTTTCATGGAAGCAACCGCATCACTAAATTCTCTTCGCCTCACTCCTTGACCATCAAAAACCACAGGCAAAATTCGAAGATCATCCAAGGCATAGCGCGCCACTTCAGCCCGCGACACCTTCTTGACAAAACAAGCATCCGCACCACCAGGACCAGGCACAAGAGCCTTGTTGCCCATGAGCACATGCCCTACTGGAAGTGGATTCGGATCTTCACAAATGATCTCCCCTTTCTTACGGCCTGCAGAATCTTCCATGGCCACCCATACATCAGCGATCCCTGCACCCGCAACCACCGGCACTGCCCCAGCCCCACCCAAAGCTCCTGGTGGAGCAGCTGGGGCAATTGGTGCAGGAGGCGCAGGAGCCGCCGGTAAAGGTGCCGGTCCGCCAGCTGCCAATGGAGCCATACCCAAACCAGCTCGAATGATGTTGGCCGCAACACGTCCATCTGCCAAGTGACGCGCCAGTGAGCCAGGATCCATTGGAGCAAAACCATACACCTGATTGGCAGGGATATGTCTAGGAATATGTGCGTGCGAGCCCAAATAGATGAAATCAGTAAGGTCCGTGTTGCGTGGAGACATCTGCTCCTCATAGGAGTCCATGTCTGGCGTCAGCACCATCCAGCAGTCAACGCTGGTAGGTGCTAACAGGAGCCGCACATGATAGAGAGGAGGCACCTCTCCGTAGTTCACCAAACACAACTGTCCAGGTTCCATCATGATTTCTTCAGGACACTATGGATAAGACTTGACCCTTGAATCCCTTCTTGCCTTTGCTAGGTGACTCAGACGGCCACTGACCAATATCCTTCAATCGATAAATCAAATAGCCAGCCCCGCCACACATCAACAGCACGACCAATAGAAAACCCAACAGAATCAATCCAAGCCCAGAGTGCTGCTCCCTTGAGACACACTCACAGGTGCACAGACAATTGCAGGGTGCCACTTTGACCTCCTGAGTTTGAACCAAGGGCCTCAATGTCCACCCAAGAATGAATGCTGCACCAGGGGCGATCCAATGTTCCATTGGGACGGTCCGGGATTTTTTGAGCTTGAAATGATGCCAACGGCGTCATGTTATCTTTCCATCATTCCCCAGTAAACATAGTCCATATATATATATATATCTATCATGATATACCAACCATAAGCCCTATACTTATTCTTGATGTAACCAACTTGAAGCAGGCGATTCCGGAGCGATTCCACCATCTCTCTCCGTGTGGAGTTCATCCTTTGGATTCCTTTGATGCCATAGAAAATAACTAGGCACATTTTCGTCCATAATGGTAAGCATGGACCATAATGGTCATCAATCATCTGTAAATGGACCATATTGCTAATCATGGACCATTTTCATCCATTTTCCAATGGCAAACTCTCAAATTGCCAGAGGCTATTTGAAGTGGATCCAACCAGCCAAGCTGATTAATACAGACCCGCGGGTCACCGCAAAGGATGATCAGAAAGGTCAAAGGCAAAAAGGTAAAACAACAAACATGGATTCGGATGTTTCTTGAAAACATCTAACCAAACTAAGATCTATCAACTCAAGTTAACATAAAATTACTCTCTATGTGTATATATATATATATATGATATATCATAAATCCTCAAGGTGCCAAGCAGTTCCTGTAGTCTTCAACACCACCAGATCCCTGCCACGTCCAGACCTCTCCCTGGCGCATGGTCGGGATCGCTGCCTCCCAGCCTGGCTTTCTGTTGAAAAATGGTGGGAATCACATGGAAAAATCAGAGATCTATAGATCATGTAGATAACATTGGCTAGGAACTGATGGCGCCAGAGATTTCGCTGCTTCGCCCAAATGATCCAAATTTAATCAGCATCATGAATCCTATAGGTTGCAAGTGGATAAAAGATGATACACACAGCCACAAGCCCTTCCACATGTCCGTAGTTTTCCAACCCACCGGGGAACCTTTGATGACTTCGCCCTTGCCGATGTCAAACACAGCCGGATCCTGTTTGCGACAGAAGCCGGAAAAATGATAAAAGGACAGAGGGAATTTTCGACAAATAGCATTAACACAAGATACTTCGTGATACGTCGTGTTTATGGAGTTTACTAATAGCTTACTACCTTTTGTATTACAATTGATGATGTGAAGAAATGTGAAGAATGAGACACCTCAGCCAACTACGAAGTGCTCATGTAGCTCAGAGCCTTCAAGTCTTGTCCCCCTGATCGGATAATTGACTATGATATGTTGAACATACACACACATATATATATATATACATACACATAAGTATACTCGAATCACTATATCTTATTTCAAAGGAATTTGCATGTCACATCATGTCATTCTCATTTCCACGAACTTCATACGACTGTTGGGTTCCACATCATCCAAGTTTCAAGAGGTGCGACAGTGGTTTGCCATATGAAGAATCTCACAGGGATCCGGTAACATTCTGGTTTCAACCAGCCAATGGCTGGTTTCTGCAGTAAAAGTTATCACCAAATGTTTGGATCTTGTGTCGATCATGCTGGTGTTTATTTAAATTATTTGGTACCCAATCTTCCAACGCCATTTCCTTTGCAGCAACTCATCTCGTACATATTACATAAACATCTCCCCTCATGGTTTCCCATCAATGCCACTGAGTACCTGGTGGTTTCAAGTTTCAACGAATTGGAGAAACTATTTTGGATGACCCCGCGCAAGGTGGACAATAATCACATTCAAAGCACCACCCAGACATAGGTTTCCCTGGAACTGTGGGAACGAATATGCCCCAACATCCATAATTACAGTATATTATATCATTGTTGATCATTATGCATCATCACTTCCCCAACTCAAATTGTCCATCGATTGGGGTAAATTCCGTGAAAATCATAGACATAATCCCATTTATGTTTTTTAATCTATGTGTAGCACCCCCCAAGAAAAAAACAGTTCCAGGATGGAAC